CCTCAGCATGACTCCAAGATGACCTTCTAAGCATATCTATTCTCCTCCTAACCTTCCTACAGATGCTGGAAACTGTTATCTCCTATCCCTGACATACTCGAGTCAAGGCAGCATTGAAAGGCTGCCTTCTAGTTACTCCTTTAAATCCTGTCCTCACTTACAGCTGCTCTGGTAGCATGGGTCAGGTTGGACGAGGGTTTTGCATAATCTTGCAGTTTCCTACCTCTTCCCTGGGAAGTCAGGTTCAAGAATTCCCCTTATGCTAAAACCCAGGGAAATTCTCTGTCATGTGGTCCCCTTCCCTGGATTCTTCTGAAATGGACATGTGTTCTAAAGGCACTCTGATACTCCTCTACTGTGCTTTCTCAGCATCCCTCCTCCATAAGGAAATCTGCTTATCATATGGTCAAGCATGTTTATTCATCTACAATTTAGCATATACATTCCAAACTCTCAGTCTCTCAGAATGTGGCCTGAATATTGAAAGCTGAGCCCTTAGAATTAAAAACCAACAAATAGTACAATATAAACCTGTTCTCCCTTGTAAATGCTTGACTCTTACAATAAAAGAAATAACACAGTTTTCATGACAATTGTATTGCTATGTGTTTAGAAACCATTCAGAAATTCAATGCACTGTTTTAGGCTGTATGAACACGCCCCAGAGGCATTAAATGTCAGCAGTTCACTGAGTGGAGAGCCACAGGACAACATCAAAACACAGAAGAATGAAAAACCTCATTTAGTAATTCAAAATGTATCCCCTGCTTTAATTGCTAGCACACTCTATCAATTTACATTACCAGAAAACCAGACCAAAAAGTACACATAGAAAATGAGTAGTAATCAAAGAGTCCATAGAATAATCTTTCCTGTTATAAAGAAACACATCATCATGAGAACTGAAATTTCAGGCAAAAATCAATTCAATGTGACTTAAGCTATATCCTAAAAGATTTTCTTAATCATAAAAATAAAAAGGGTTAAAAAATTCCTTAAGCAACCATATAATTTCAAAATATTATGCTGGCTTCAAAACAAAAAATCATGCTGGCTTCAGACTTCTCTTCAACACTAAGTTTCAGAAATGCAGTGAAATAATTTCTATACAGATTTGAGGGAAAATAGATTTTACCCTAAAATGCCATGCCCATCTATTTCTGGGCTGTAGATATGAATTTAAGAGCCATGGAAGAATTATTACCTTGGATGAATAAATTCATAGTAAGAAAGATTTTAAAGTGAAAAGAGCAGAAAGACTGATATAGATGCCTAAGGAATAGCAATATTTAAGAAAATAGTCAAAGAGAATGAGGAGGAGTGACCAACAGGAAGGTGTTTGTGATGGAAGTCAAGAGACTAGAATGTCTCCACACCATGAATCTGGAATCTACACTTGTGTTTAACTTAGTATTACAGATTTTGGCCAGTTTTCAGTCAAAAATAGAAAATAAAGAGAATCCAAGCTTGAAAGGAAATGAAACTATTACTATTCAAAGATGACATGATATTATATATAGAAAACCCCCCAACTCCACCAAAAAGCTATTAGAAACAGTAAATTAATCCAGTAGAGTGGGAGGTTACAAAAATCAACACACAAAAATTCTTAGTATTTTAATATACAAATAATGAGTTGGAATAAAAAGAAATTTAGAAAAGAGCTCCACTTACAGTTGATTTGTATAGATAAAGAACCTATATAACAAGAACTACAAGATGCTATTAAAGGACTTATGTAGTGAGATTAGGAGATAAAATGATATCCTGTGCTCTTGGATCAGAAGAATCAACATAATCAAAATTATTATCCTGCCTAAAGTGATATATAAACTTCACATAATCCCCAATGAAATAGCAACAACGTTTTTCAAAAAAAAATGAACAAAATTATCAATATTTACATGGATCCACTAATGGCCTTGATTAGTAAAAGCAAACGTAAGAAAAAAGGAGAGAAACAGGGCCACCAAGTTACCTGACTTCAAATTTAACTATAAGACAATAGTACTGAAAATAATATGGCTTATTTCCCATGATTTTGCTCTTATGAACAAGGTAACAATTATTCTCATACATGTCTTCTGAATGGATCTTCCCGGTAACATGAACTCTCCTTCCACACGTGTACAGGACAGCTGACCATATGTGTCTGTTGCCTCCATTTAGTGACACCCAAAGTGTTTAAAAGGAGATTATTCTAATAATACATGCACATTCTTTGGACTAAAACTTGATCATTATTTTGAAATATTTCATATGGAAAGGTTGATTTCAACTTAATATTCACTAATAGCATCATGAGAAATTTCAATCTAACATTTGTCAAGGAAAAAAAGAGAGAGCTGTTGGATTCTATAAACATAATGTCAACTGCTAATTTTTAAATGATTCTAAAAGACTTTAAATTTTATATTACTTGCTTGTGTGAACAAATTTCTTGTCAATGATGACTATTCAGAATTTGAAGAGATTATTAAAAAAGTGTTGAACAGGAATTATGCATAGCCATTTCAAGCAAGATGTCTGATATAAAAAAATGGTATGTTCATGCAAACAAATCCAAATTTCCAAGTCAAAAAATGAGAATTATTTCATCTGAATAATTACATAAATTCAGTATCTCCCTTAATATCTTTTGCAGTTGCCAGTCTCTCAGCTGGAATGCAGTGATGCTTGTTCCCTGTATTGATGTTCCCATCTTTGATATATATCAAAGGCATATATAGTTCTCTTTCCCATCAAATAGGGTGGATATCTGTAACTAAGAGGAGAAATTATTGCAGAAATGACAATGTATGGCCTCCAAGGCTGGGTCATAAGAGATCTCGTGGCTTCTGTATTGTTTTTGTTTAGATCACTTACTTTAGGGGAAGCCAGACCCATAGTGTTATGAGGACATTCAAGCACCCAGTGGTGCTCCCCATGCTGAGAAATAGAAGCCTCTTGCCAAGAGCCCACACTGACTTGACAACCATCCAGGTGCACCATATTGGAAATGGCTCTTTCAGCCCCACTCAGTCAAGACTTCCGATGATGCAACCCCTGGATGACAAGTTATCTGAAACATGAGAGATCCAGAGCCAGAACCACCCAGCTAAATGCCCAAATTCTTGACCCACCATGAACTATGTGAGATAATAAACGCCTATTGCTATTTTAAGTTGCTAATTTTTTGGAGTAATTTGTTATACAGCAAGAGATATGATACACTTTTGAATTTATTTTTCTCACCATAATTGTATAATAAAAAGATAAAACCAATTTATTTTTTGCAATAATTCCTAGATAGATGCTCACCCCATCTCCATCTAAAATGGAGATTAAAGTATACTGGGTGGAAAAAGCAAAACCTGGGATTGCCTGTGTTCAGGAGCCTTTACTGTCAGGAAGACATCTTCAAGTAACTTTCACCGGCTTCTATATTTCTAGTTTTATGTTTATTGGGCAAAGCACAAAGAAGATGAAGGGCAAAATAGACCATGGTGGGGATGGTAGAAAGTTTAATTGAGAAGTTTATATACAAGAAATTAATACACTGTATACTGTATACTGGATTTACTATATATGAAATATAAACAGCATTGCCACATTTGGAGGTTCTAAAGTTTAAAATAATGATGTCTTCGTATGTGCAGAGTAGAAAATTGTGACACATGTAAAAAGCCTCCAACATTCCTATTTTTCCCTGGTGTTTTTTTTTTAAATGTCAACTGTTAAGTTCATTCTAAAAATTGTTTTTGTACCTCTGCTTTATCCCTTTACTCATAGTTCGAAGCTAGTATTTAATCCAGCAGTGATAAAAGACTCTTTACAAACATAAAGATTCATTTTCAAATGTGAACATTTTTCATCATAGCACCTCCTGTGCCCCAGTTATTATGAAACCAATCATTTCACCTTCCAGCCACTAGCATTTCCTGAAGGGGTCTTGTTAGCTGAGCTCCCTTTGATAAGTGTTAATTCTGTTAATATTCCTTTGAAGCCCATTATAAATGTTCATTTTACCCAGAAATTCCACAGGATGTGGTTGGTGACTCATTTCAGACCTCAGTCCTTCTGTTGCTCGCACTGTGCCCTTCTTTGGCACCCATGGATTCTCACCCTACATGCATGCAAAGGGTGGAGAGATGTTTATATCCTCATCACGAAGGGCTCAGCAAATAATAAATGCTAATTTCTGAGGTCAGGAAAGGTGCTTCAGATTATCCCTTTTTGAAGACAAGAGCCACACAAAAGGGCAGGATAAGGATGTTCTGAACATCCTACAAATTAAAAAGTGCTCTACTGAATTAAGGAAGAACTGATTGGGGGCCATAATCATGGATATCAAAGTGAACTCAGAGTCTGAGACCCCATTTGTCAGATTAAGCACACCCTTAAGGAACAAAACAGCCTAGAAAAATCTTGTATTTTTTATAGTTGATATTGAAATTCTGAAGCTGAGTTATACAATATGAGAGTTACTAGCCACATGTGACTAATTTTAAATTAATTAAAATTAGATAAAATTTAAAATTCACTCCTTAGTTGCACCAGCACATTTCAAATGCTAAATAGCCACATGAGCACTATTCTCAAGTGCTGAAGTCATCGTAGAAAAGAAATTAAAACTTTGCTGAATTCCCTTACTTCTATTTCATGATGTGACTTTTTTTTTAAAGGTTGAATTACCTATTTGCGAAGGTGAAAGAACCGTAACATTTTCAATATCTGGAGACCTTTACAGAATTTAATTTGACCTTGGGCAGTAGCAACCTTAACAGCATTTATATCCTTGACCTCCCTTCTAAGCACCCATCAATAAACTATAGCCCGGGACAGTCACCCTTGAGCGCCTCCAATGCAAAAGACCAGCCACAGAGCGGGCGCCTCCGCTGGTTTCTTAGCAACAGTGACGCAACCCCGCCCCTTCCCTGGTTGTCCCTCTCCTACCTTATTAGACTGGAAGGGGCGGGACCAGGATTCGCGCAACCAATAGGAAGGGAGAGGAGGAGGGCGTCCTGGCCGCGTCCCCGTCGCTAGGGAAACAGTAGCCGCTTGAGGCCGCTTGAGGCCGCGCGATGCCGAGCGCTAAGGAGCCGGCTGCGCGGTCTGAGGAGAACGCGGAGGAGGAACGCGACGCAGACCCGCGACTGCGACTCCTGGGGGCCTACGTGGTCCAGAGCCTGCGGCCGGCCGCGGGCGCCTGGGAGCGCTGCGCGGGCACCGCCGAGGCGGAGCAGCTGCTCCACGCTTTCCTGGGGCGCGATGCTGAGGCGGGGCAGCGACCGCTGCTGGTGGTGCGGCCCGCGCCTGGGGGCCTGGCGGTGCGACCCGGGCTGGACACGGGACCCGAGTCCGGCCTGCCCCGCGCTAAGGGCCTCTTTTTCCTGCGCACCAAGCCCGAGCCACCGGGACCCAATAGCCTCCGCGGTGCAGTGCTCTGCGGGGACGTGCCCTCAGCGCCTCTGGAGCACCTGGCCGCGCTGTTCTCTGAGGTGAGGGCGGGTGAAGGCCCCGGGCTAGTGGCTGCTGTGGGGCGGCGCGGGAGCTGGAGGTTGGGGGTTCGGGGGAGTGGGAGGGTGAGGAGGAGGAGCCATGGGCGGGGGCTGGAGCAAAGGGGAGGGTCTAGAGGTGGAGGGGCGGAGTCGTAGGGGAGCAAAGGCTGGGAGCTAAGTTTGAGGAGTCTTGAGGGAAAGGAAAGGTTGGGGGCGCTGAGCATGACGGAGGCGGGGGGGGGATGCGGGTGGAGCTGGAAGGAAACTAAGACCAGAAGATGACTTTTGGGAGTTGTTGCATCGGGGCTGGGGAGGCTGTGGGATTTCTGAGTAGGAGCCAGGTAGGAGTGAGCGTGTGAAATGTGCTAAAACTTGGCTGGATCCTGTTATGGGTTCAAGTCAAAGTGAAGGGGAGGCCAAAGTCTGAAGAGGGTTCTGACCTCTTTTTAAGGTGGTATCTCTTAATCCCTCCTGTAAATTAGGGCTGGGAAGACAAGAAGTGGTGAACAAAAGGGTATTTCATTTGAGTCAGTAAGGTGAAGGAGATGAAAGGCCATAAAAACATTTGCTGATTCACTTCATTCATTCTTCACAAAACCATTTAAGGTCAGCCCTGCGCCAAAGTAAGATGTTGGGGCACCCAGTTAGAAAAGTCCAACAGGGGTTTGGAGGGGTCTGCTTGGAGCTCAAGAAAGAAGATCTCAGGAGATGGGGATTATGAAATGCTCCAGTGGCACCACAGCAGAAACCTGGAGAGTGTAGGAGATTGCAAAAAGACTCCTCAGAAAGATTCTTGGGACTTTTAGATGCTTCTGGAATGGGAATACACGTCCCTTCAAGTCTGTTGTGTGTGCTTCTGGATCCTGCAGGTTGTCAAATAAATGTGTACAGAACACTGGTTATATATATTTGGTGTGATAGGTGCCAGGGAGAAACTACCAAAGAAACAGAAAGATCCCATCTATGAAAATTAATAATATATTTAAAACTAGTATGACTAGGGTGGAAGTGGAACTTAACTAACTTTAGCCACAGCGATGGAACTAGGTCATGGAGGTAGGAGTTAGCCATTTCGTTGCTTTTTTAGGAAGCTGAGGAGATGGGCTCTCAGGGGACCCAGGGAAACTAGGTTTCTCATTAGATATGAAAATATTTCAATACTTTAACAACCAGAATGACTTGTCTACTATGCATTGTCTGAGCACCATCCCTGCAGAAGTCTAAGCTTGGGTCAAATCCCCTAGTGAATGATAGTCCCCTAATGAATGATAGCAAGAAATTTTATTGGGTTCAGATGAGAGAGAGAGATGTGTTTGGTCTGAGAGCCATGTTTAGCCTCAAATGTTAAACTGAACAAGGAGAGTTAGGATAAACATAGAGCAAGGTAACTTTCAAAATATGGGACATTGGTTGAAAGAAGATTTAGTGCGTCAAGGTCTTCTCTGTTTAAAAGAACAACCGCTGGCCTCCAACCCGGTCATACTGGGTGCCCTTCTTTATTCTTCATGAAAATAGTAATGAAATTGCTTTTTTACTGTCTGTCTCTATTGAGTTAGAAGGAAGGGAGACAATTCATTAACAGAGTAATAATATACAGAGAGGGAAAACTAGCTGATGGAGAAACAGGGTTCGGTAAAAGAATTATTTTCCACTGTGAAAGCTTTGTACTTTTAACATTTTACACCATGTAAATGTGTTCTTTACTTAAAAGTCTAAATAAAATTATGTATTTAAAAAAAAATGCCTCCAGGCCTTTCCTTGTATTTCTCAAAAACTCTGATTTAGTCCTTGGGCCATTCAGCCCTCTCTTCTACATCTTCTACACATCCTGAAAGTGATCCAGTGCTAGTTTAGAGCCTATCTGCACCTCATCCATTAAACCCACTTCTTCTCCTCCCAGCTATCCTAGCCATCTCTCTCTCAGTGCCCATGGATCAGCTTAATCCATAGCCGGAGTGTTTCCCTACGCCTCCTCTTCAGTATAGGATCCCAACTAAAGGATCCCACTTAGCTGAGAGAGATCTTCAAGTGGGGGTGGGGGGAGGGGAGAAGAAAAGAAACATGTTGAGGGAGGTGATTTTTTGGTCTCGTGATACTGGTAGCAGTTAAAAAATATATACCCCTGAAATGTTTCCAAGGAAGAACTGACAGAATTTAGTAACTAGTTCTGCACCTTTTCTTACTCCTCCCAGTCACTTTATTCACTACTGCGAGGTTAATTTTGAGTTCTGAAGCTTGGAAGCTGTTTTGAAGTTTTGTATATGGGAGAAGGAGCATGGGATTTCAGCAAGTGAAGTTCTATCATATTCATCAGTGTGATGTGAGCAAATTAGCTTATCTCTGTTGAGGTTGAACTACCTTGCAAGGTTGTCATGAAACTTAGACATGATATATTAGGATATCTGAGTTCCAGTTATTAATCTTTTAAGGACAAGAATTATTATCACTCTACATCCCACTGAAAACCTTCCTCACTTCTTTGATTCTGGTCACCGTGCTCTAACTTAGACCTATCTCTCCCTAGTAGATTCAGTTGTATTTCCGTACATCATTCTGAACCTGGAGGTGGGACAGTTGTCCTTGCTCCTCCTTTCTGCTTCTAGATACATCTTGAAAAACTTTCCCATTTTCTATCTGCTGTCAGATGAAGCCACCCTCTCTTCTCATTGCTGCATGGCACTGATGGCACTGACTGAATTTCTCTATGACTGGGCTCTCTGCTGTGATTCTCAACATTCATTCCTCCTATCTCAATTTGTGGCTATTTCAAATAGACAGATTAAGTGACCTTTCTCATAATGTGGCCTCCTTGAACTTTTCTCCGCCAGTGATCTTGTTCCCCTCCCTATCTTAACTATCTCTCCCATTGGTCACTCCAGACATTGCATGCAATAACTGCCCCTTCATGATCCATTTTTAGGCTCCTCTTTCTCATATCTTACCAGTTCACTTGCCCCACTGTCACACTACAAAAACCTGTGACCCTGCTGGGAATTCTAATCCATTGATCTTGCTGCCTCCCCACCATCCATCACCCACACCCATGTTCTTTCTCTTTCAAATTTGAATGCTGTGTTCTGCCATTATCTTCATTCCTTCCATAAACTTCTGATTCACTGACCTCGCCCTTGCTTGGCTACACTCATTTGGCAAAACCACAATCCCAGTAAAATATAACTCTTCTTCTGCTCCTACCTGCCCCCATGAAGCTGAATGGGATTGATGAAAAACCAGCTGACTCTATTTTATATCCATGACCCTAAATCTCTAGTAGGTCTTTTAGGCTTTCAAATGGGATTTCCCATATTTCCTATTCCAGATGGGAATATTTTGCTCTTCTAGATCACTATTGCACACCTTATTTTCCCCACCAAATGCCCAAGAGCTCTTTCAACCTCACTCTTGCTTCTTAATTTTAAAAAATGGAAATGGGTGGCATCATGTGCTACATAAAGATGCTGATTTGTGATTCCTGAAACCTAAATGGTGTTATAATTCAATATTACTTCAATAAAATATTTTAGAATTTTGAAAATATAAAAATGAAAACAATAAATTTCCACATAAAAGTTTATTATATCCCTATCTGCCAATATCCATATTCATATATTCTGCACCCTTCCTATTGCTGCAGATAAACTCTCTGCTATTATGTCAATCCTTAAACTAAAATGCCATATTTTCTCTGATCTCCATCCATTCTCATCTACTTGAGGAGGTTGCTCTACCAGTGCTCCCTGCTCACCTCCATTCTCATTTTCTTCTTCTCTACTAGATAATTCTGACAAACAAAATCCTCATTCCTCCCACCTGCTATCATCTTATTTCTATGACCCCTTTTATAGAAAAAAATGTCTAGAGTATATGTTTATACTTGCTGTGTTCTATTCTTTTCCCTGGTTTATCTTCTACTCACTCATCAAGCTCTTACCCCCACATTGCACAAGAAAGAAATTAACCTTTCACTGTAACCAATAACTTCCATGTGACTAAACTGAACGACCATTTGTTCATTCTCTTCTCATGAGCACCCTCTCCTCCTAGAATCATTTTCTTCACTTGGTTTTTAGAACAGTCTTCTGGTTTCCTCCTGTCATAATTGGTCATTACTTAGTTTCTACTGATGATACACCCTCTTCTTTACAACTTCTTAACATTGGAAAGCTCTAGGACTCATTCCTTAGACATCATCTCTCCTTTCTGTATACACAATTCCTTGAGAACAATCATTCAAATTCTCAGTTTTACAACCTATCTGTATCTGCCACTTCCCAAATTTATTATCTTCATTCTTTTCTTCTTCTCTCAACTCCCAACTGCCGTATCCAACTGCCTACTCAATATCCCCATTTAGAAATCAAATATATCACATTTTAACATGTCCATAGACAAACTCTTAACCTTCCCTCAAGAATTTCCTCCAACCTTATTTTTCTGCACATCAGTTAATGGCAACTCCTTTCTTCTGCTGTTCAAGTCCCAAATCTTGGAGTCAACCCAATTCCTCTTTTTTTCTCACAACCCCACAACTAATCCACTAAGAGATCATATTGGCTGAACCTTCAAAACATATATAGAATCAGACCATTTCTTATAATCTCCTCTACTCTCCCTGGTGCCAAGCCACAGTATTCTGTATTATAGCAATACATTGCTAACCAGTCTCTTTTTCCACTCTTGCCCCCTAGAGTCTATTCTCAATATAGCAGTTGGAGTGATCCTACTAAAAATAATGTCAGACCATTTCACTCCTTTGCTAAAAACCCTTCAATGATTTACATTCATTTCAGTAAAACAGTCAAAATCCTACATACCATGCTACATGTGATCTACCCTCCCTTTATTTACCTCTACTTTTATTGTTCACCCTGTTCCCGTTTCATTGGCATCCATGCTGCTCTTTGATCACACTTGGCACCCACCTCAGGAGCTTTGCATTGCTGTTTCCTCTACCAGTTAGATCTGCTTGGATTTCACATACTGGGTCCAGGTATTCTATTTCATAGCCACACAGACTTATTGATCATATACTGAATCCACCAAACATGTAAGTCTTTATTTCCTTTTCATTATCTATTTATTTCCTTATCATATTACCTCACATCTATTTTTCTTTCTAGTATTCTAGTATTCCTTTTCCTTTGATTGTGAGCTTTTGACAAGCAATGGTTCCTAGTGGGATGTATTAATTATATCTCTTTAAGTTTCTAGTGATAAAAACCCCTCAATTTAAACTAGCCTAGAAAGTTTAAGTGCAGCTTGCTCTGGGAATATGCTAGTACCTAGTCTTTTTCTAACTGTAAACTCTCTCTTCTCCATATTGATCCTATGCTAAGGTTTCATGTGGTACAGGATGGCTTCCAGTGGGTCCAGAAGACTCAATAGAAAAGAGAATGCCTCTCTTCCTCAAAAAAGTTCAGATAAAGAGATTTTGGCCTGACTCATTACTCTGATTTGTTCACTTGTCTATCTCTGGATCTGGAGATCTGGAGATGGGAACCAAAAGAGGAAGTATGTTTGGGAGCCAAAATCAACTAACGTTCACATTTACATAGATTCAAGATCTTCAACTTTGCTTTCTCTTTTAAGCTGCTCCCTTACACCACCTGTAGACTGATGGTCATCCTTACCTGTATTTGTTCTAATTTTTGTCTCTGGCCCTTGTAACTGTTCAGTCACCTCTTATTCACTGTATTGATGAGAGAAAGATTCCTGCCCTAAGGTTATGAGAATGGTTGAACACGTGACACTGGGCAGAAGATACTAACAGTTTATAGTCACATATCCTCATAGTCATACATGGTTGTACTTAGGAACAGAGTGAACAACCAGTGACTGACTGTGGGAGGCAAGTTTTGTAGTATCAAAGAGGGTGGCAGAATGGGAAAGGCTTGTTTGACTAATCCCACTGGCTGGCAGAGAACCGATGTTGGCTACTCAGGATCAGGATAAGCCTGATCCCCTTGATAAGAGAGCTGTTTGACTCAGGGACCATGCCGTCAGGAGCAGGAGGAGGAAGAAAACTTGTGGGTAGATGATTTGGGACCCTCCTCATTTTACCCAATGTCAAGGCAACAAGCACAGAATGTTGGATCTTAATAGTTAAGTCATACAGCACACAGACCTGAAAATGTTTATGTATCACTTCCTGGGCCTTTCTTTGGATAGTTTACATAAAGTCTTGGAAGTTGAATGCCCACCTTTCGTTCCTGTGCACCTCTGTTACAGGTTGTTATCCCCGTCTTGGCCAGTGAGAAGAACCATCTAGACTGGCCCCACGTGGTATGTCAAGACATTACTCGACATGCCCACAATCTCCAGTGTGACCTCCTGGTTATCCTTGAACAAGTGAAGGGGAAAACTTTGCTGCCTCTTCCAGTAGGCTCAGAAAAAATGGAGTTTGTGGATTCTGAAAGTGAGACTGTGTAAGTGCTGCCAGCCTGGCCCTATGGGTCTCAGAGATATGGGAGAAGCCAGTTTATCTGAATGTTTTCTTTACAACTTTTTTGTTCCTGACTCTGTACATCTTTTTGTTCTGCACACAAGCCCACTGTCTGCTCTGTTTGCCAACATCCTTGGACTGTATGTTTTGTGCTGATTAGTACCCTTGCCCCAGTTCCTCTGAAGTCTTTTAAGGCTATCATAGCAACCTGCCCTTTTCACCACTCAGAATTACTTCATGCCTGAGAGCAGCCACACTGGTTTCAGTATTTTCCTTATCAGGATGGTGTCTCATCATTGACCAAGACCCAGATCCAGTCTGGGAGACAGTTGCACCTCTTCCAACCATTTCCTCAGCACACAATGTCACAGAACTAACACTGGTGGCCTTGTTACAGTACCAGAGCCTTCTCCCCAGCAACCGAAGACTTTTTTTCAGGCCCTGGAGATTTTTCAAAAACAGGAAAAATTATGACTTTGGTGGGATTTCAAGTCCATGCCTCCTGTGTGTGAGTAGATATTATAACCCTGCCATCCCCCTCTTTTTGAAGTTATATTCACCATCAGCATCTATTTACCAGTCTAGCTATGAGCCATCTTTGCATCTATCCCATGAGTTTTTTTTTTCTTTCAAACCAAGCTATGTAGCTAAAGGATATATTTTATTATATTTACCCAGAATTTCTCCTTTTGAGAGGAGGGAAGGTAGGTAGGGTGTTATAATAAGATGCTTAAGGTGGAGGGAATTCCCCAAACATAGAAAAAAAAATTCTGCTAGTTTGCCAAAACAAAATGCCCATGACACTTTCCATTTTAAGCCATTGTTGGTAGTAGTAACAAAATTGTCTCCTTTATGTTTTAAATCCTGACATTAAAATGTTTTGTAGAATCAACACAGCAATAGGGGTGGATGGAGGACTATGACGGAATCCATTTTTTCTCTATCATTTCCTGAGTATCTGAATGAAATATCACTGGTTATGAGATACACAGAGCTTACTGAAAAGGCTCTGGATCTGGCTTTCAATCCAGGCTCTGCCACTTAGTGGCTAGTTGTTTTGGGAGCAATCATTTCATCTCTTCCCAGTCCCAGTTTCCTCATTTGTATTATGGAGATGATTTTAGCCCCTACCTCATTCTTCAAGTTCTTATAAGATAATATCCATCTCTTAGGACAGTGCCAAGCACTTACAACAGTAACAAGCATGTACTAGTGCATAATAAATGGCCAGGTTGGAGATACTTGAGATTGGAGATTGGCAAAGAGTAAAATGCAAGTTCAGTTGATGTCTAGGATGTACTAGACATTATCTTTAAGGATTATCTGGGGAAGGAAGTCATAATGAAAGCTGAAATGGGTGACCTCCAAGTGTGAAAATTCTAAAATACCAACTGCCACAGGTGTCTGAGACTACCCAGTCCTTTGATGTGTATCTGGCAATAGGCCATCTTCCTACATGAGCTCGGTCTGCCATAATGCCAGTAGCTTTTCAATGTGTAATTGTCATAGTTGTGTATTGAGAGTCTGTGATATGAAAAATAAGTAATGCATGGGATGATGATGTACTTTATAATGAATTTTTGCTCTTGGAAGTAATTTACTACATATCTCATTTGAAGTAATTTCCCAGTTAACTGGAAAATTTACTGTAGCTTAATAAAAATATTCAATTTTCAAAATAAATAAATTGAAATTACCCTTTTCCTGTTCCTTTTATGTTTAAACATGTTTAAGCACAGTAATATTCAGTGTGTGTGTGTGTGTGTATAATCATTGCTGAGTTTGTTCTCCCTTTGTTCAATTTAGATAATTTCCCAAAAGACTGAATCATATTTCAAGGAGATATTTTCTCCCTTCAATACCTTCCGTAATCACTTGTGCCATATCAGTGCTCAGCAAATATGAATTTAATTAAATTAAGTAGAGGTGGGTTTCTGGCATGAAAATGTGAATGATAGACTTTCTTTGTCACCTGTGACCTGGGTTCTTAGCATGAACAGTTTTCAGTTAAGACTTTGTGCAAAGGCAACAAAAAGGTATTTGTAATTTTTAATCCCTTCCAAAAATGTCCCTTGTTTGTTTTTCAAAAGCTATTTGGGATGGGGGGACATATGCTTGGAAATTTAATTCTTCACTTGAAAAGTGAAGAAAAGTAAATTCAATACTGGTGTTTACATGGCTGATGATTTGCCTTGGGGAGAAAAATAATCTACATCTTCTTGCTGGAAAGGTCAGAAATAAGACCAAAATGAGGAAATCATAGTGAGGCAGATGCAATTCAATGTAGAGACAAACTTTCTCTAAAGGAGAGCTGATCTACTGAAAAATGCATTGCTTTTTCAAGTAGGGAGCTTGCTAATTTGCTGGGATGAAAGCAAGGGCTGGATAGTTATCTGAATAGTTTCTGTATAATGTATTCCTGCTTTGACAGAAAAATCTGATAGGATTCAAAATTGTTCTAGTCTTCAGAATATTAGTGAACCCCTGAATCTTGAATAATAGTATATGAATAAGTGTATATACATGCTTAAGTATTTTGTCTTTGGAAAGGATCTATACTCTTCATTGTCTACTCATCAGAGTCTATTATCCAACAAAAGAATACCTGGACTAGATCCCACACATTTTTAAGATTTGGCAGAGATCCCAGAGTTAAGTTATTTCCAATATCCCAGTAGATTTGTCATGTCTTTCACAGGTTGGATTCCACAAATAAGTCAGTCATCTATGCCCTTGAGTCTGCAGTGATCCAATGGAGTCACCAGGTCCAGGTGGTACTCAAGAGAGAGTCTTCCCAGCCACTTACACAAGGGGAGAATCCTACCCCTAAGGCAGAGTTGGAGTTCTGGAAGAGCAGGTAGGCATTGCTTGAACCCTGAGGATTAAATGTCTCAGAAAATAACAGACTGGGTTAGTCAGCCATTGAGTCTGGTCCTCCCCTCCAATTGTTTCCCATCATCCCCTACAACAGACACAACTAAGCATTATTTGGGTCAATACAATTTTTCTGTGTACTGGGAGACACATATTTTCCCCAAGGTTCAATAGTACTTTTTTCTTGGGGTACTGTTCAGTAGATCTGACATTTCTTTACAGACTCTTCCAAATATAGGGAACATTGACTCTCTTACACAGTTTTCTTCTATTTGTCTACTTTCTTCTCCTTGGACAGTTAAAGCTATGTGTGCATACATTTTAATGATCTGGAGAAAAAGGGATTTTTGAGAGTTGACTGAAAAATAGCCTTTCCTAGGTTCCAGTCATTCATTAGCAGAGCTAGAAGTTTCATTATCCATTGTGTCCTTAGACCCACAGGGTTCCTGAAAGAACTTGCTCCTATCATCTTCCTCTTCCTTGCCATTTCCTTGCTTCTATTTGATAATTGTGCTGATTAATTCTTTACTCAAAAGGAGACATACAGATGTTTGAGGCAGATGTCCCTGTCCTTGTATTGAATGGAATGTCTGTGTCACATGATCAGACTTGCCGCTAGGGCTCCAGCCTAGTCTGTGCCACCCTGCTGAGATGCCCCATTCTCCTGCCTGGTTTCTGACCATTCCACTGACCTACTGCACAGCCATTCACTAGCAGCCTTGATCTGACAACACCTCTCTCACCCCACCCCAAACCTTACTGCAAGAGCTAATGACCTCCAGCTGCCAGGCTTCTGAGCCACCAGATGGTCACAGCAGTGTTTCCTGCTGTTACCTCCTGGAGCTGCCCCTTTGAACCTATGTTCCTGACTCAGACCTTAGCTCTTACTATTCTGGAAACAGATGCTCTGGCTCTTCTGGCTGGAGGCAAGTCTCAGTGGAAGCATCTTTAAGCAGCACTTATGTCAGTCTGAGGGTGGGTTATCAAAGTGTGACTTACATTTCCTGATTCACCCTTCTCCATGGTGTTGTAGGTCTGAAGATCTGGAATACATTTATAATCAACTAAGAACAATAAAGGTGAGGGGCATGGCTGGGCTCCTGGACAAGTTTCAGAGCAGCTACTTCCCAGCCTTCCAAGCCATGTTCAGTGATGTTGTAGCAGGTGAGGATTAGCAAGTATATTCATAAATAAGTTTGGTTCACATTTCTAATTTAGTATTGAATTGGCTTCTCTCTGTGATTTCAGAAGCTTCAAATCCTTATAATTCTCTAACCAATACAATTTAGCATGGTGGCAAGAATATCACATCTAGAAGCAGGAAAGCATCTATACTGTACTCAGTTTGCATTGCCACAGCTTTGTGACCTTAGCAAAGTCACCTAACCTCTCTGAGCTTTAGTGTATACCTGGTTCTCACATATACACATCTTGCCTCCTTCCCTGAGTCTTTGTGAGATAATTGGGGTGGAAGTTTTTTCTTGACTGTACTGAATGTACAAATACATGTAATCGCTCACCTCTGGAATTTAGGTCCCTCTGCCCCTGGCTCCTTGCTCCCTGAGGAGTCGATATTCCATTTCTGGCCCCATTTTCTATTTTTTTCTATTTCTACTGTCAGATGGTACTGAAATTTCCTGGCCATATGAGTACCAGACAACATTGGCCCTTGTCAAAATTGCAAAGCCAGCTAAGTCTATAATTAGAAGTAGGTAAATTTATTCAGGATCCCTCACCCCTCATCAGTGTACTTTGCTTTTTTTCCCTTCTAGCAAATATCCTAGCTCTTCAGCATTGTAGGTTAGAATGTGCTTTTAAAAATATTTGCAATTTCATATGATTTACGCTAAATCCAAGCAACAACTTTCCATCAGAACTTTTTTTAAATACAAACTCCTGTGTAAGTTCAAAATATGAAACTAATCACAGTATATTTGCCGTGTTGAAGGGGAGAGCATCTTATGTCCATTGGTTGCTACCTTGTCCTGCCTTCTCTTCCTCTTGTTACAGGGGTTGAAAAAAAACTCAGCTAAAGGAATAAAAGTTGCAGTGGTGGAATATCTATGCCCCTCAGTTTATAGTATATATATATTATATATCCATGGTAGAACTGGCTTAAGAGCTAGTCTTTGATGTCCTTTGGATCCTAAAGTTGTATCATAGAGGCCGTTCTGCCAACACAGAAAGCTAGCTTGGAACATGCTCCTTCTTGAGAACCCACTTCATTTCTTCACTGAGAGATTTTGTGTCCCAGGGGAATCAACTGATATTCCCAATCTATCTTTAATTCAAATGGTAGCGTATCCACTATTGGACACTATATATACCAATATGTACCACTATTGGTATGAGAGATGATTGTGCCAGCTATATGGACAGGTATATTTAAAAATATGTTAAGAGGTAACTGTTTTTGGCAAATGGTAGTAATTTATGGTAGTAATTTGAAGTTTTCATTTTACATGATTTTATTTAGGTTAAAAAGGGAATCAATGTAGAGAAAAGTATTAGGCTTACCTCTTTTGTGATATTTGTAATGTAATAATATAAAAGGAGGTATGCAAATTGACTGACATTTTGGGCAATGAATAAAACAGCTCTCAAGAAAAGTATTTACGAGCTGGTTATTCTAGTAAAATATTCTATTTTTCACATCAATAGATTATAATCATTCACACTGGTTAATAATTATAAAATATTCAGTTCCCTACTCTGGTTTCAAAAAGTTCTTTGCAGAAGAGTATATTCTGACAATGAAAAGCCTAGAAAAAACAATAGCATTATAATAACATCAAATAAACACTCCTATAAAATTAGAAATCCTTAAAATACATAATTCAATTCAATGATGGAAGAAAAGAAATTTTTATTAGAGGAGTAAAATAGAGACTTGGTCAGAAATGGCAGCTTCTTCTGAGCATAAAGAGATTTCAGAGGCTGGCAACTGATTATCTCATTTCCAATTTAATTTCAGAGCACTTTTATTTCTAATAAGAACAATGCATGTAGTATATCTATTAAAGATAGAATAGATAACAAGCAGGTGCATTATGTGCATTATTCTTACTAGTCAAGATTAAGTGTAATTCTTTGGTTCACTGATGAAGAAAGGAGAGAGAAAGAAATATTCCCAGATCAGTGGATGTAAATTGGAAAAAAAAGAAATGAAAGAAATGAAAAGGATGTAGGAAAATGTATATGGGAAAGATTAGCTGAGGTGGAATTGATTGAGTAGTAAAGAACTTTGGAAAATAGGAAGCATCAACATGGAGGGGGTGCACAGACAACAGGCTGGCAAAGACTTCTTAAGGAGTTCTCTTCTTTGGCCACTAGGGGAAGGATTGGTAAACTGCAGCCTTGTTGCCTGTCAAAGGATACTTGTAACTGGATATCTGTAAAGAGAAGTCGAAGTCCAGTGGTGCCCTGGAGGCAAGTTAGACTAACCTGTAGTTTCTCAGGAGAGAAACTTTTCAACAACCCCTCCCCAACACTCAGTGAAGTCAAGTTGGTAGCTTGAAATACAATTGGAAATAGTTACACCACAGAAATTGGCAATGCTACAAATAAAGGCTTTTTTTCTTGGAAGAACCTGTTGAGAATTTACAAGAAAAATAACAGACATCACTGTCCACATAGGTGTTTATATTTACTTTAAAAAAAAAAAAAGGTTGTGAGCCTAACTCGTTTTCTTAATTTGTTTGGTGAATCAAGATGATTGCACCCTGACCTGTATGAACCAACCCTGTTTCCTTAAATATTGTGCTTTTAAAGTATCAAGGTAGTGCCTACTTGTATGATTAGAGGAGATTTTTCTTTTTTTGAAATAAGAAAAGTACCATAAAGAGAAATCTCTAGCACAATGATCTCAACCTCATTTCCCTCTTGGCATTTAAGAGCTGGAGCATGTGCTTATTAGAATGACTGTTGGATTCTGATATCCTCCACCCTACAAGGTAGTTTTGATACTTCCATAAGCTCCTCAATTTAAGAATTATTGCTCTAGTCAATTTACTGTGACATTGGACTTTCAAAAATTCCAGTTATATACTACTTCCCACAATTCCGTTTACACATCACAAAATCTGATGTGCTGTGAGCCTCCCAACCATTAGGCCAGTGGTTTAAACAATAAAGTTGGATAATCATACATTTGCTCAGTTGAATAGCAGTGGACGATTCACAGGGAAGGCACAAGTCAAGTTCCTTTAGGACTTAACTTCTCTTAAAAAGTGAGAGTAATAAAGCTACCTTGCAGCGTTTTCTATGAGATTATATATTTTAGCAAGCAGAACAATGCCTGGCATACTGTTTTCAGTTTCCTTAGGATGAATAAAGAGTTTCATCCATATACTGTAACAACCTAAGACCATCTGTTCTCATATGGTAGTCTGATTATCTGCCCAGGAATTAACTAGCCTTTACAAATAACCCCTTCCAGTTCAGTTTATTCAATGGAGTTTTGCATTCCCTCTAAGTTGTTAGGCAGAGTAAGTACCCAATGCTATAGGTTTTCTACTTTCCCCTCTCAGGTTACCACAGGAGGACAAGTGAAAGGCCTGATCTGTGCGATCAGAGGAAATGGTAGGATATTTTTCTGGCTTTAAAAGCTAGCAATACCTTTTCATAATTGGCCTATGCTTTATCCCGTGTCACTTCTCCATAAGAGCTCTACAAGATTATTTATTACCAAATATTTACCAGAAACATTATCATTTATGGAACACCTGCTTTGTTCCAGGTACTATGCTGTGTATGAAGATTGTTTGTGCTACCTTCACAAGAAACTTTTAAGTTAGTTATAATTTTGCCAATTTTTGAGACTCAAAGAGTAAATGAGACTCAAAGAATAAATGTGCCCAGGGTCACGCAACTGGTAAATGTTGGGGCTGGTATTTGAAGGCAGATCTTTCTGACTCTAAAACATGTCCTCTGCCATTTATTTGTATTGTCTTGGAGATATCAGTAACAAAGGACTCATCAAACATTTACCAGTTATCTTCTACACACACACATACACACACACACACACACAGAGCACTAGCCTGGGACTGAGGGGGTCAGGAAGAAGTCCAGATACAGGAATTTTGTAAGAGGGACTCTTCAGATCATTATCCTAGCTGTCCATGGCTCTCTAGATTTCAGTATATCTGCACAAGGGCTAAAAAGTTTTGGGGGTCAGTTTTCTCACCAATCCCTCAGTTCAGGAAGAATTTGCTGGCATTGCTTTGTAAATCCTTCAACTCCAGGTACCAGGTCTCTGGTATGAACCTCAAGCAGGAAAGGATGATCATGACCATCTCCAATTCCTTCTAGCTCTAACAGAGGCACAAGACATTCAGACACACCTAATGCCCCTTCATCGCCACCTGGAAATCCTCGAGGAAGTGGAGTTTCCAGAGGTGAAACCCCGGCTACAACCTCTGCTTCATGTGGTCTGTCTGATTTGGGCCATGTGTAAGTCATACCGCTCCCCAGGGCGGCTCACTGTACTGCTCCAGGAGATCAGCAACCTTCTTGTCCAGCAGGTGAGCTTCCACAGGGTTCCCACCAACCTCTCCCTGGGGGCTGATTGGAATCAAATCATGAGAAAAAGTAAAATATGCATTTTTTTAGGGCAGGAGAATAACCATGGTTTAAAGGGCAGTCACACTTGAATTATTTTACTATCAAAGTCAATAACTGACAAAGGTTTTCTCCGTAGTGCTGGAATACTTGTGTGGCTCAGTCTTTCTTTTCCTTCTGCCCAAGACCCATGGTGGGTGAAAAGCAGGGCTGGTGAATTTTTATCTCCCTATTCATACATGCAGATGGACTGTCATGTCAGCAGCAAAGTCTAACAGTTAAAAATACCACCTCTGGAAACAGGCTTCCCTTCACTAAAATCCTACTTCACTCCTTGTTAGTTGTATGTGCCTAGGCAAGTTAGTTACATGCTCTGTGTATCACTTTCCCACTCTGTGCAATGGTGCAAAGAAGAGGACCCGTGTTGATGTGCATCAGGTGCCAATGGGATCACGCAGGCAAAGGCTCACATCATGCTCTGCATGTGCTAAGAATTCGGTGCCTGTGAGCTACAAAGCAGCTTCTGGGATCACACACCATGCTTCTCCTTCAGATGGTGTCTTGTAACACTAACCAGGTCTATATGAATCTGAAGGAATGTTTTTGTGAACAGAACTCGAGTCCTTAATGAGGTTTGGGTGTTCTTTCCCCCAAACTTCCTTCTAAAGAGCTGTGACTATGAGAAAACAATGAACATGTTTAAAGAGTAGCTAATGAAAGAAACCTCTATGGAGCACATTGTGGGCTCCAAATTGCTATGGCAGTCATGAACTGGCCATTTTCAGATGAGCCCTGCAGGGTAGACAGGGCTCAGGGAAGTTAACTAAACCACTAAAGGTCATTCAATCCACATCCTGAAGCCAGGTTGTTTGAGTCCTACACCAGTGCTCTCTCATCACTCCATATTTGTGAGCTAGGACTCATTTGAATAAAAGTGAAACAAAACCCAACCAAAACTAGCATCAACAAAAAGATCATTTATTGGCTTACTTAACTCCAAGTGCTAAGTTAGGCTGGCTTTAGTCCTGGTCTACAGGAAGATCTTAGATGATGCCACAGGACCTACTTATTTCTGTCCCTCCCTACAGTGTTGGAAATGATGAAAATTTAGCTTCACAGCTTTCCAGGTTCAAGACTCTTGAAGACAGGGAGATGATAATGTTTCAAGGAATTCTTGCACTAAAATTATTTCATTATAGAAAGCCAATAAGTCACAAGAGAAGACCTGAGAAAAAACAGCTCCAGCTTACCCAACAGCTTACCCAACAGCTCCAGCTTACCCAAGTCCCATGTGAATCCTTGTCTCTGATTGGTCACGTGCCCAATCTTGAGCCAGTCACTGGCTATTTGGCTTGAACCCATGTTCCCGTCCACCTGTAAAACTGAAAATGAAGTCAGATGTTTCCTATATTATGCTTCCGGAAAATATTTCTTGGGCAATTATTCAATTCAGAGATGGTTTTGGCAAAGTTGTCAGTTGTCCTGTATCGGCAGCCAGGCTCAGTAACACTGATCTGTTTGCATTCTAGGCCTCTAATTATCTCAGCCCAGAAGACCTCCTGAGAAGTGAGGTAGAAGAAAGTCATAGAAAGATGCATGTGGTGATGGGTACCTTGAACTTCTTCAAGGAGGTTTTTCAGGACAGGAGGGAGAATCTCCATACTTACTTCAAAGAGAACCAGGAAGTCAAGGAGTGGGATTTTCAGTCTTCCTTGGTCTTTGTGCAACTGGATGGCTTCCTGGGACGACTGCACATAGTAGAGGTGAGTGTCTTCATTTGCCTCAGGCCCCCAGCTCCACACAGAAGTAAGCAATCCAGAGATCCAAAAGACAGAATATGAAAATGATTAACCCAATATGGTGAACTGATTGAAAGAACTCATAAGAAGATTCAATAAATATTTGGGTTGGTATTCATATTGACCATCACAATGTCACGGTTTTATAAGAAGTTTAGGAAATTCTAATCATAGATCCATGTAGGAAGATGTCCCAAGGACTTAAGGAATCCATCAACTAATTTAGTCGATTTTCAAATGTCCCATAATCTTCAAACCCTATTTCAGATAAACTCTTGCTTGAAAGTCTGATGTACAAAATGTGAGTGAACTGACCTGGATATAGCTGGTTATGCTCATAAAGTCACTATTCTGAATGTCTCTGCTTTCCCATCCTCAAGGGGAATCTGAAAACTATAAGACCATCGAATGTGCAAAAGAAATGGGATTTTTGCTGAAAGTTGTGTTTCCCCCTCAATTATTTAAAAGTTAATGTAAATGTTAGTGTCAGGACCAGAGTGGAAAGGCTTAAGGCTTTTTCTTTTAATTATTTCCATCTTCCAAATCTAACATGACTAACAGATCCTTAAACACTATAACTCTATATTGGCCGATTAAACTTTGGGGGGAGGGTAGTGAGCATAACAAAATGGAAATACATACTTATTCTAAAACTTACTTGAAGAAGGAATTAAAATCATGTCTTACCTTTTAGCAGTACAGATTTTCCATAAAGGGAGAGGATATTATAGGAAGAGGCTGTGAAGAGTGGGAAAAATCATGGGTTTATGAGGATAGGAGAATATGAGGTTGCAGCTGTTCATTTCAGTTCAAAAAATCCCTGCCTGCACCACCGTGCACCAAGTACTGAGCTAGGCATTGGAGATACAGTGATCACAGAAATATAGTTTTATCTGTAAGAAGCTCATGGACCAGTAGTCGCATAGCAAGAGAAGGGAGAACAGAAGAGATCCAGGGATAGAAAGATACAGAATAAGCAGTCATTAGTGAGGTATAATAAATGCCATGATAAAAGAGAAATTGGTGTGCTACTAGGAGCAAGAAAGAGGGGTCCTTAGCCTGGCAGGGCTCTGAGAAAGTAGGGAGCACAAGAAGAAATAGAATTTGAAACTATTAGGAATTTACCATGGGGAAGAAAATGAAGAAAGACATAGACAGAGAAAATATATAAGTGAGAAAGCCAAAACCAGATCTTATGAAAGGAACACTTTAAATCCGTTGTCATGATCTTGGAGAACATAAATAATTGATATCTGGCTTTATTCTAGATCCCATTTCCATCACAGCTTTTCATGGGCCACATCCTCCTCCTCCCCCTTCACTCTGTTCCTCTCAATTTCCACATCAAACCCTTCACTGTGGTTTAGGCACCAAGGTGACAAGTGACAGACACTCCTGTCATTGGCCTGGGCTGACCATGTGGAATAATTGTATTACCACCTTATAGTCCTGTAGTGCCGGGAAGGCCACTGAGTAGGTTTTTTGATCTGAGCATACCAGGTAAAGGAGAGTCCTGGCACTTTCGGTGGCTTTCTCAGGCTTTTATTGAGCTTCTACATGTATTGCAGCAACAAGGTACATGCCAGGCAGAGGTGCTGGGGGGGCCAGGAGGCCAGTAGGCCGCCAAGCCCCTGGGAAGTCTTCACTCTGGGTCTCCCCCCCCACCCCGCTCTCCCCCCCCCCCCGCTCTCCCCCCCCCTCCCCGCCCACTGCTTCTTTTGGTCACTATCAGTACTGGGCCATGGCCCACAGAAGTAAACAACACAGCTTACAACAATGTAACAGATGCAGGTGCCCTATCAGGCAGGGCAATCCTAATAGTGGGAGGGCACAAAAGCCTGAAAAACACTTACCCTACAAGACCCTTCAGCCCTGTGGCCAGCCAGAGTGGGAGCAGAGCAGCTGGGAAATGACTGTTGGCCTGGGGCCTCAGGCCCTGTGCACACATGCTAATGATGTGACTTTGCATATAGACAACTATTCTAACATTAGGGCACCTAATCTGCTGGGTATATTTGGTAAATAGAAGCGGAGATGGCTGCCAGTCTCCCTGGAGTCATTACCCTCACAATAGCCGCTCTCAGGCTGCCTTTTCTTTCTGAACCAAGGGCATAGATGCATAAAAAGCGGTTTAATTAGAGGATAACTTGAATGTCACCATGCTTTAGTTTTTCTGCTTCTTCCCCTCTTGAGTTTTCCATCCAGGCCAAACTCCACCATTTCTTTTCTCTACTGCTTTTCCCTCCTCCCTCACTTTTTCCTTCCTTCCTTTTTTTACTTGTCTTCCATCCCCACCTCTCTTTTTTTTAATTTTCCTTATCTTTGTTCACCCTGAATTCACCTATGTAATTTTCTTTTTTCTCAGGGCTGCTTCTTCCCCCATCTTCCCATTATCTCCCCCATTTTTCATTTTTCAACTCCCAAACATGTATTCACACTCATCCCCTGGCCTTTGCCTCCCACCCCGCCTCTTCCGCACTCAGCTCAAGGCCACAGGACACGAGACTATTGATCGTCCCCAGTGTATTTCATATAGCTCCTTAGTTAACATTCTGTGTATCTCTGTGATCGATGCCTGTTTGAAATGGGATTAGCCTGTGCCTCTTCAGCAAGAATTAACATAAACCTAGCCTTATTCACCTTGCCATTCTAATAAGATATGTGGCTACTGAGATGTGGCTGGCTACAATTAATAAATACAAGAAGGGAAGTTAGTAAAATGACAACAATATATTCACCCTTGTGCATGCTCACATCCAGAGTGGTTTTGTGAAGGGCTGGTTTTTAATCTACTTAATTCACTCATATTTTCTGCCCTCTGATTTGTGTTGTAGCAGGGAGCGGGGCAGCTGCTTGGAAGGAGGTATTTTGCTAAGCAATTTTCAGCTGTCTAGTGCATGGGGTGTAACTCTATTCTCAGGATACCACCATCCTCCTCACAACCAAGACACGGTACTCTCTTAGAATACTAACCCTTGGATGGGGAAAAGAAGACTAGAAAAAGAAAGAACTAAGATGTTTTCAAGAGCTTCTTTCATTCCAAAATCTGTTCCTTACAGTCATCTTAAGATCTGTGTTTCAATACAGTTCCATTAACAATTGAGCACAACTAAACATGATGCATAAATTAACCTGCCCACAGTCCTAGGGCTCAGAGAGGCTTAATGGCGGTTTGTACCTGGGCATATGGCTTGGGAGTCCAAAAGGTCTGTTTCCCTCCCTCTCTCCTTCCTTCTCCTCTATGGAAAGTCCCACACTGGTTTTGTGGTTTTTATTATGCCCTTATGCACTTTATTCTGCCTTTGCACTCTATTTTTACCACATGATTTCTAGGTCTTTTTTTCTAAGTGAGTCATTTGGGTAAAATTAACAATTCCCATTCCATGAAAGGGCCTTATTTGATTCTATGACTTAGTAAGGAAATCTCCAAGGTATATAAAATCCTTGCAATTTGAATCTATAGTCAAAAATCCAAGGGAAAGGCGTCACTCAACTGCCTCTTGATTTCTTTCCTCATGCTGCTTTTCTCCTAAGTGCTCCTGTGTGGGTACACACACACACACACACACACACACACACACACACACACACTACATATCATAGACAGTGCACATATAAGAAGGGAATATGTATGCATATTCCACACATACATATACTCCGCACATCCTATATACACATATAAGCATTTGCCACACACACACACACACACACACACACACTACATCACACACCACTGCACACACAAACATACTACACACATACCACATCACTTGCACTACATATATACAAACGTATTATATGCACATCATATAACACACATACTGCACACCCACAAAAACACCACAGACTTATACCCACACTGCTTACATACCAACACACCATACATACTACATATTTAAAACACAAACAACAAACACACACTGCTGCACTGACACACATACTACAGATACTACACATACCACAGACATCACACACATACAACATACCAAACACCACAGACACTACACACATCACACAAAATCACGTGTACTGCCTACATGTACATATAGCACAGACATGCATACTATACAAACCATACCATACATACCACACACCACTCACGCTTACACTGTATTCACACATAGTACACACACACATACCAGCTTCATTATTGTGCCATAATTTTGTCAATTCTGTAGATCCTCTGTTTATATTTCTGCCAGCAACCTCTTCCTTGCAAAGAATGCAGTAAGCAGCTTGGAGAAAACTCTTATTTCTTTCATTATAAAATTGCTGTAAAGCTGAGATTCACTTGGAGACAAAATGATTTCCTGCTGAGGTTTTATGCGAGGTGATTAGCAGGCAGGTAGGTAATAAGCTGACCTAATATACACTGCATTTCCTTTGCTCTTTTCCTCATCTCCAGCCTCTCTGCTGCCTCCTTTCATTTGGGCCTAATTGGCCTGGCTTCCCTTTCAACCAGGTCTGAGCATGTGGTCACGTAGAAGACCATTAGCTGTATAAGGTCAGTGCCTCCGAAAGGTAAAGAAAACAGTCTTTTTCCCAATGACCTTTTGAGATTTTCATCTATGAAAGTCTGCTTTGTGCTCTTCCTTAATGAATTCAGAAGACATTTCCTTTAAGATGGGCAGCATGACCTCTCCTTCAAGAGCGGGCCTGCTGTTAGTGGTGCTTGCCATTATCCATGATTTTGATTCCCTGCCTCATAGGCCATAGCACAAATGGAACTCTCCCCCATTACCCCGTTAAAGGTTACATAGTTTTTCATAAGAATAGGACCCAATCAGTCTAGTCAACTGCCTGAGACCCCACAGTCTTTGTGGTATTCATCTAGAAAGATATATATCAGCCATTTTACATCTCTTATCCACCAACCTGATCTAATGACATCAGGGTATAGAAACTACTTATAGTGGCTGTCATTTATTATGTTGTACAAAGGCATTTCCCATGTAACTTGGTAAATCCCCCAGCAAATGGGGTACTAGCATCTTCAACTACAGGTTACGAAAATGAGGTTTAGAAAAGTTGTGCCTTGCTTTAAGTCACAGTAAATGGCAGGATCAGGGTGGTGTGAACCTGAGACTTTTGGCCCTTGATCCTAGATGCTTTTCACCAGGTTCTATGTCCTACCCCTGAAATTTACATAAAGCAAAGTGAATATCATGTATAGTCTACTGCCATGTGTAAAAATGAATTTGCAGAAGTAGCATTTATGTTTTATTACCTTTTACATATTTTGTAAGGATTTCTAAACAAACAATGAAGGGAGCTTTCATTTAAATAATTTCAGAATCAAAGATTTAATTATGGTTATTACAATAAATCTGTTTCTATAATTGTAGGATAATTTCCTACCAGATTCAGGAATCTTTTCTGCAATACCTCTGACATTAAACTTCTACTAAAATCCATCCAGAGACAGAATGCTCACTAGTTTCCTTAGAATCCCATTCTGCGGCTGAGCATTTCTAGGCATTAGATGGTTCTGTTTTGTTAATTTATACATGGAATTACCATTTCCTGCAGGTTAAAATGGTCAAATATAAAAAATTTCAGATGTCCAACCTGCAAGTTGACCCAGATCTAAGTCTTTGTTCCATTCACCCCTTTGCCTGGTTCTGCCTTTGAAGTAGGATGATGCAAGGTCTGCAGGCTCTTCTAACTTTCAAAGGCACAGCTTGGCCTTGCTTTATAATTCTCTTCTCTCATCTAATTTTCCTTGGTTTTACCAATTGCTCTTGTGTTTGTAGTTCCTAGATTCTCTGTCACTCTGTCACCTTCTACTGGAAAGGCGAGAGCTAAGTCAAAGGGCAAAGATCAAAATTCTTTCTCAAAAAAATTTTAATTTGGGTTTACGTTTTTGCTCCTCCTTATATACACATGTTCTTAGCCCCCATCAAACCACCCTGCCACTAGCCCATCTGCCTACGTCCTCCATCATCTACTCCCTTTCCTCTCATTCTCTTTGTCTATGGTAACCATAAAATTCTTTCATGAAATCCAAGATTTATTCCTGCTGTACTTTGCCTATATGTATTTTTTGGTTTATTTCTATTCCACAGATGAGTAAAACCATTTGATATCTATTTTTCACTTTCTGCCATATTTATATGACAGCTGCCATTATCTCTCTTTTAAATACAGTTGTTTTTTTTTTAAAAGATTTGTTTATATATACAAGAGCTGGGGTATAAGCCAGAGGCATGGAAGGGTAAGAGGATTCACCAGAGACAGAGCAGGGAGCAGAACAGGAAGATGGACCAAAAGCACTGCTGAGGGGAGCAGTGGGTGAGACAGGAGAGGTCTACCACGCTATGTGGGTATCTCCCTGGCCAGCCGGGAATTGAACCGGCGCTACAGAGGCTGTGGACAGCTTCACGGCGCTGAGCTCTACCCACTGCACCACCAGGGAGGCCCTCTGCCATATTTAACTTAGCATCAGCACTTCAAGGTCCATTCATTTTGCCCCAAAAGCCACTATTTCACCTTTTTAATATCTGTGTAGTATCCCATTGAGTATATTCATTCATATTCTAAAGTTACTTCATTCATTTATTTGCTGGAGGTCACTTAGGTTGGTTCCATGACTTGACATTGTATACAGTGCTAGGAACATAGGCATAGATAAATCTTTTCATCTTAGAATTTTCATATTTTCAATTTTCATATCTATATTTCATATAGATACCTAATAGACATATTGCTGGATCATACAGAATTTCTACTTTTATTTTCTTAAGAAATCTTTATGCCATTTTCAAAAGAGGCTGCACCAACAGTGGATGAGTTTCTTTTTCACTACATCCTCATCACATTTCTTGTTTCTATTCTTTTTTTTTTTTTTTTTTTTTTTGATCAGGGCCATTCTGATAGAGGTGAGGTGATATCTCATTGTAGTTGTGAGTTTCATTTCCCTTACAATAAGTGATATTGAACAAGTTTTCATATGACTTCAGGCCATAGAATATCTGCTTTGAAAGCTATTTATTTAGGTTTTGCACAATTTTTGATTGTATTGTCTGGTTTTTGTTATTGAATTGTGTTAGTACTTTGTAAATTTTGGAAAATTAGCCCCTTGCTAGATGTGTGATGTGAAGGTATTTTTTTCACATTTTATAGGTTGCTTTTTTGGTTTTGTGATGGTTTTTTGATGTAGTCCCACTTGTTTATTTTTCCTGTGGTTTTCTTTGCCATTGAAGTTGAGTTCCCAAATACGTCTTTGTAGTAGATACCTATGGGTATTCACTATGTTTGCTTTCAAGTATTTTATAGTTTTTGCTCTTATGTAGAGATCTTAATTTATATATATAATCTATTCTGAGTTAATTCTTATAGATGGAGTTAAGTAGAATCTAGTTTCATTTTTTTTTGCAAGTGGCTATCCATGTTTACCAACACCCAGTGTTAGAGGCTTTGTTCCCTATGTTGTGTGACTGCAGCTCCTCTGTCATAGATTAACTGTCCATAGTTGTGTGGGCTTATCTCTGGGCTTTATGTTGTACTCCATTAGTATTAGTTTCTGTTTTTGTTCCAATACCATACTGTTTTGATTACTGTTGCAATGTAGTATAGTTTGAAGTCAGGAAATGATCATAAATTCACTCACAAACTGTTTGTTCAGTATCCAGGGCATGGCTGGGGATTGATAAAGTTGTGCCTCTGGGACCTCTATTTGGAAAGATGGACAGAAAGTAAACAATATTATATAATGCTAAATAATATAAACCAGAGCATGATAAGTGTTCTAAAGAAAGCTTATGCAGGGTTAGGAGATGGAGAGTATAGGATAAAGATGGCATGGGGCTGGTGAACTCTTCTGATAGGGGGTAAAGAAAGGTCTAAGGTCTTGAATTGAGACCCAAATAAATGTGTCTCCAATCATGTGTTAAGTTAAATAAAACAATGTAATATTCTTTGCTTTCAGTAACCAGAGTTTCTCCCAAAACAGAATAATTAAAAAAATATTTCTCTATACCTGTGATTAACCTGTTAGACTGGAAATGAAACACCTTCCAGTGAACACTCAAGACTATTCTTCAAATATTCCTGACAAACACATAGGGGAACAAAATTATCATCTAGTTCATTTACGTGATCAAACATATCAAGATATATCTGTCTTTTAAAATGATTAGAGTGTTTTCTAATATTGAAATTGACTTTGGTGGAATTATGAAGAATGATAACCCCACAGCACCAATGTGTTTCTCCTATAACGCTCATTACAACTATGCACCTTCTGAATAATTTGACTTGCTGTTCAAGTCAACTTAATCTAAATCAAATTAATTTCTGTTATCTTCCTAGTAGATAAAAGTTTTTAAAGACTGTCCCATTTCCCACTATCAGTAGCAGGATACCCTGCTTTTGATGTATGTCTTCCTTTCCTTTGCTGGTTCTTTCCTCTTCTTTATTCTCTTTAGCTGTTTGCTGACAGTCATGCCTGAACATAGCAGAACACAAAACAGTTCATCGATGACTTCCCAGGTTGTACAGGTAGCCTCCTGGCAACTGGAGGAAAGTCAGCCACTTCTCATGATGTCCCAGTGCCTCTGTCACTGCTGCTGCACTTGATGTCTCAGTGGGAGTAAGGAGTCAGGCAGCCTTCTGTTATTGTGATGAGTCAACACATAGCAGTGGCCATCGGCAGCAGCAGTTTCCTGGAGGGATACCATGTCATAGTGTGGAATAGTGGCATCATGTCGTAGTGTTCCCTATTCTTGCCTTTGACCTCCATCAGGGTAGACTATGCTCCTCCTAAGGGTCCACACTGAGTGTTTGCTAAAATGGCACAAAGTTAACCATTATCTTCCTCTTTCCAATTGAAGAGGCATGCACATCAATTGAAGCTGTAATGAGAAGAATGTCTTGTTTTGGAGGCTTTATGATTTTAGACAAAACCTCAAATTCATTATAAATAAATACAGTCTGTTGTATTGACGTGTTTTGGAGGCTCCTATCATACTGGAGTTGAAGTGGCTTTCATGAACTTGGGAGGGCTCTTCTCCAAAACTCTGGATTGTGTCATCTACCTGTCATTTAATTGCAAGCACAGCTGGAACACGGTTGTATCAACAACAGTGGCAGTGATATACATTCTGTATATTTATTATGTAAAGGACACTGGCCTAAATCCTAAGCCTGCACTGACTTATTTGTCACTGTTATTATCCTGTTACAGTTGAGAAAACCCAACATAAAGATGTCAAGTAATTGTACACTGTCACCCAACTGGCCACACACATTTGGCACCCCACAAATTTCTTTGCTTAGCAGAAATGGTTGTTGAGAATATTGCTGTCATGCTCTGGGCTTGTGCTCAGGACTATTTGGAGGGTCTGTTTTCTTTTTAGTATATCCCCTAAGATAGCTGTCATTATAAAAACAGATAACATGATCTACTTGAAATTAATTTTTTAAAAAACAGATAGTCAAGTTAACAATCATATAGATAATTTTATTATTGTATCTTATTATTTATTAGGTAATACAGAAAGGTTGAAATATATATTTGATATTTTTTGTGTGAATTTTTTATGCCTGTTTTTTTTTTTGCTTTGTTGTTGAGATTAACCAAGAGTTATTTATACCAACCCAATCTAATAATAAGGTTACAAAACTAATCAGGCTTCACATTTTCCTAAGCAACCACCACCCCCAGATCACAAAATTCTTTCCATTACTAATTTGAATGTCATCTGCTGTCGTTATCATTTTCATCATTATTATTCTAACTCTTTTGTGAATTGTCCCTATAGGATCTTCTGAAGACAGCTTTAGATTTCCACAAATTGGGAAAGCTTGAGTTTAGTGGCATCAGAGGGAATGCCCTGAGTCAGCAAGTCCAGCAAATATACGATGAATTTCTAGAGATGTACAAGGTCTTCTCAGAGTCCTCCTATGACTGCTTGGACCCCAAAATTATGGTGAGGCTTATAAAAACTATCTTGAAGTCTTTGTCTCTTTCTCAGATGCCTCCAGCCTGTGGGGTCTGTGTACTTACTTTCATTTTCCCTGTGCATTTCTTTGGACAATGCGGTCACAGTTTATCAGCAGAGACTGCCCCTAATCATTTGTTGTATCAGGAGAAAGATCTGGGAAGGACTTTCCAACTGCTGAATGCTCTGGGCTGATGATACCCAAGGTTTCAGAGATGCCAAGATGGGATGATAGTAGAGGTTATGGCCACCTGCACCATCCAAAGCATTAAGGTTTGAATAGGGTCTGCTACATGAAGGCCAGTTACCCCTGCACAGAATTTTATTAGTGTTTGGGAAGGGGTAACTGAAATAGTTGCCTAGTTTTTGTGCTATGATCCAGAGTGCCAAAGTACCAAGAGATTATTCAGGTTGAAAAAAGATGCATTGTCTGTCACTGGGACACCGCAGGAGAGCTGGGACCTATGAGTCTAACCCTGCAAGAGAACAAACAAACAAGAGACTATGAAGCAATGGGGAATGGTGTTCTCTGAGGATGGAATTAATGAATTACTGAAGAAGGAATTTGTAAGAGTATATGAGGAAAAAGAAGAAAGAGATTAGAGTGGAAATCTGCTCTGAGCACCTTCAGACATCCAGGGAGACCTCTGTTCACCAAACCCAGAGATACGTCACTTTCTAAAAAATTTCATTAGTGAAACCTGGGGTGTGGGACATGGAGGAAAGGAGTTTGCTATGTTATGATAAAATAAAACAAAATAAAACCCTAAGCCTGAGAAACAGAACAATACTATGTTTCCCTACTTTGTTTTTTCATAAGAATATACCTCACTGTTATAAGAGCAATAAGAACAAATAATAATTCCGAAAATTAGAGATTTTTATTAAAAGACTTTCTCTGAAAATTGCTACATTCCAAAAAGGATGATGCATTTTGGCTTGCCAAATATAATACAAAAAATCTATTCATTGTGATCTGAAAATTAAATTTAATCGGGAATCCTGTATTTTAGTTTGTTAAATTTGGCAACCTTAGGAACTTTGCTAACAATTGTCTTAACCAATTAAAGTGTACTTAGGGCCTCCCCGGTGGCGCAGCGGTTGAGCGCTGGGTTGCGAAGCTGCCCGCGGCCTCTGCAGCACCGGTTCGATACCCGGCTGCTCCCCGGCCACCGCAGGAGGGTCCCACATGGCGCGCAGACCTCTCCTGCCGCCCACTCCTCCCCTCAGCAGTGTACTTCGGTCCTTCTGCCTGCTCTGCTCCCCGCTCTAGTTCTGGTGAATTCTCTCACCCTCCCGCGCTTCTGACTGTACCCAGTGCATGTATAAACAAAAACAAACAAACAAACAAATAAAGAAAGAAAGAAAACATGCCTCAAAAAAAAAATAAAAAAAAAATAAATAAAGTGTACTTAGACGAAGTATTGTTTATTAATGTAATTAGCTTACTTTCCTTTTAATGGCTAGTTTGGTTGCCCAGAAAAAATAAGATTTTAACTTGGGAGTGGAAGGAAAGTAGGTGGTAATGATGGTATAGTCCCATTGCTGGGACTATTGCTACAGTGGCTCTCAAGATGGCATGAACTGGCACTGTGGATGAGAAAGAAGGAATTTTAGGAAGTAGGAAAGTGGGAACAGAAGTAGGTAAAATGGTGCCACTTGGCTCACCTTAACATTTCATCTAGAATGTTTAGGGAAAAAATATTGCAAGAATAGGGTAGCTCTCTTTGTGTATAAAAACTAAGTTATGCCAAGGTTTATTTTAGAAAATTAAAATAAATCCTTGGTATAATGAGTTCAGGTACAACAAAGGTTAGTAAGAAAGAGCATAAGTGTGTTTAGCTTTCAGAAAACCATGTTTTTCTTATATCTGTGTGTTGTCTCTTCAGGAATTTGAAAATGACATCTCTGAATTTAACCGGAGGGTAGAGGATTTTGACAGAAGACTGGGGACTATCTTTATTCAAGCTTTTGATGATGCACCTGGATTGGAGCATGCTTTTAAGGTTTGTAGGGTGGGAAGCACCTCTTTGCTTGACCTTTTGCTTCCATCCTCATCAGAGGAGGGAAGGGGAACTCTTCCAACTATTTCCTCCCTGTGGATATCAGTTCTCATTAGTCCACTAGAGGGTTATTGTGGTATTCTAGGGTAAAGGAGTGTGCAGAACTGGGTTCATCTTGTTGATTACCAATACTTTTCTTAAAACATAGCAATGTAATTATGCTTTTCAATAGAGTTTTTTCTCAAATGCTCTCTTTTGGGCCATATCAGTATGGTACCCATTAAAAGTGAGAATGACTACTGTGGTCACCATCCTCAAATCATAACTCTGCAATGCTTTGGCTATTTAATCTCTGCTGTCATGTTGATTCAAACTGGAGCAAACCATCTACCAGGCAATTGGCTATAGGATTCAGGTACAAGTAACTAGAATAAGGAGATTTCTATTTTTGCCATATGGTATATAGAGCAGATAATAAAAGGAAGATGGAAGACAAGATTTTGGATGATGAGTAGAAAAATGGAGAGACAACTGAGAGTTCTCTGAGTTTTGAGATATGAAGACTTAATAGAGTATGGTTGATCTTCTATACCTAAAGGAACTTAATTTATAAAACATTAAGGAGTTAAGACTAGACTAATCAGTGTAAGGAGGTAGATTTTGGCTTAATAGAGGGGAAAAAGTCTGTCAGCACTATTTAAAGTTTGAAGTAGTTAAGTTTCCAGTCACTGAAAATGCCCCAGTATGTACTGGAAAACATATGAGGAGCCTCAGCTTATAATGGGTGACTCCATAGTAGTCTAAATTGGTAGGCTTCATCAACCATCTTACATTGATAGATAAATGAAAAACCAGGAAACAAGAGTTATAAAACTTTGGAAAGATTGTATCTGTGACATTTTTCCTTTTCTTTTTCCACCTTCTCTGTAGTTGCTAGACATAGCAGGAAATCTCCTTGAAAGACCACTGGTAGCACAGGATGCATCTGATAAATATTTAATGCTCATCCAAATGTTCAATGAAGACCTGGACGCGGTGAGGACACTCTACAGTCAGCATGTCCAGGAGGAGGCAGAACTTGGTAGGCTTGTTTCCAGCTCATTTGGATAGGAGAATTCCATTATTGGGAAGGGTGCTACTTACTCTTGTATTTGTTAAATGCCCAGTATGGATCTATGACATTCTCTAAGAAAAGCAAGCACAACTTCAGTGCTTGAAATTCCAGACCAGCTTGGGTGATTATGAAGTTCTCTGAACTGTGTAGAGGATTTCTGAACAGTATTTTCCTAAGTCTGGGCTGAAATTGGCAGGCTGACCTAGAGCCATGAAGTCTTGACTGCGTCTGTTCAATTAAATCCTTAACATAATGTTTGCGTTGACTCCCGATCAATGTTGCCACACTGAGTAATCTTCATTCAACATACCTCAATTCTGCAATAGATTTCTACATGCTTGAGAAAATTTTCTCATCCCTTCCAATGCCATAGCAACCATGCTTCTACAGGGAGAAACCAAAAGGTGCCTGACAAAGGGAGGTACTACACCAATGTGTGATGCCTCTATTTTTTTTTTTTTTTTGGCAATTCTGCCTTATTTAAAAATCAGGCACAAGTGCATTCAGCTTACAAATATTTCTTGAGTCCTTGCTATATGCAGGGAAGTTGTGTAGACACTGTATGCAGTGGCAGGCCAGGCTGAGGAATAGAACAATTAAAACTAAAAGGTTGTTCTTCAAGGAACATGTCAGGTATGTGCAGAGTTAACAGTAAAACATAGCAAAATATCCATAGTGCTTGACTTGAGTTATAAAGAATGGAGACAAAACAAGATGAATGACAACTGGAAAATTCAAGGGAGAGTTTATGGAGAAAGTGGCTTTGGACAGAGTTCCCAAAGGTGGGTGGATTGATTGACAGCAGTTAAGAAAGACAAAGATCTCCAAAGCAAAGACAAGAGAATCTGAGACAGATTGACCTGCCAATAGTCCAACAAGGTGTTAGAGGGTGATCAGACCATGGACCTTGGGGTCAAGGAGTGAAGTCTGAGTGCCACATTCAGGAATCTGAAAGTCCTTATTCAAGCAATGGGAAATTTTACCAGGTTTTAAAGTAACAGAGTGCTGGGACCAGTTTTTCTGTATGGGTTTCATAGTGAGGTCATTAAAAATTGCTTCCACTTGGGAAATCATCCCCAGAAAAGCTGTAGGCCTCATTTTTATTTGGACTAACTTCATGACTCCACACAGTCAGATGCAGGTTTAAAAGATCAAATGTCATCAAAAACCACATTCGTTTTCTATTGTTACATAACAAATTATCACAAACTTGCTTAGTGGCTTAAAGCAACATTAGCTTTCAGTTCTGTAGGTCAGGAACCTGGTGTGGTGTGCCCAGCTTTCAAACTCAGAGTGGCACCACCAGGCTAAGCTCAAATTGTCAGCTGGCCTATAGTCTCATCTGGAGTCTCTGGGGAATAATCCACTTCCAAGTTCATGTTTGTTGGTAGGATCATTTCCTTGTAGTTGCAAGATTGGGTTTTCCATTTGCTTGTTTGCCAGCCAGGATGGGGGTGGGGTGGACAGCATTCTCAGGGACTCGAAGCTGCTCCCATCCATGCCATGTAGCCACCTCCATTCAAAGCAGTAGTGGACACTGAATACTCCTCATGCTTTAAATCCTCTATTTTCCCTTCTGCCATCAGCCAATGGAAACTCTATTCTTTTAAAGGGGTCACTTTATTAAGTCAGGATCACCTATATACTGTAATATCATCACAGGAGTGATAGCTATTAATATTCAAAGCTTCCACCCATACTTAAAGAGGAGCAGAATATGCAAGTCTCACTGGGTATCATCTCAGAATTTTGCCTACCATGGAGGTCAAGCAGAAAATGATAGCAGTGGCCTGGGGCTCAGTATAAGATCAGGGAATGTTGGTGTTTATGGTAAACTAAAGGAAGCGACAACTATTCAGCTCTAGTTTTAAGTTAAAAATGATGGTTGGTTGTTGCCAAATCTTCTGGTTTTACCAGAAAAACTAGAAACTAGGATTTTTTTTATAAATGAAATCCCAAAATTAGTACATTTTGAGACCTAATTATAAGCAAACAAACCCTAAAATTTCTTTTGACTGAAGTAAAGGCTGTACTAACTCTGGACAAATGCTTTATAACCCACATGGCATGTCTCATTCATAGTCTTACTGAATTCTCACAGAAATCCTGGAGGTGTTAAGCAGGGAAGATATTCCCATTTTATCGATGAAAAAACTCAGGCCCAGAGAGATTAAGTGGTCTTTCTCAACCCTCCCTATACAATTATAATCATCTTGAAAATTTAAAAGCACAGATAACTGCCCACCACCCTCCCTAGGCTTATTAAATGAGAATGGCTAGGACGGTACCCAGCCATCAGTATTTTCTGAAGAATACAAAGTGATGCTGATCAACAGCCAGGTTGAAAGTCACGGGTGCAAAATCATAATGCCAGTGAGTGGCAGAACTGGGCTGGGAACCCACATCCTTTGACCCTGTTTATTCTCTCTAGGGTCACTCTTCCTTGCACACTAGCTGAATGCAGTGATCTTCCACAAACTCCCCATCTCAGTGCAAGCACAGGGAGATTGTAGCATGTGGAGGTAGATGAGACAAAATGTGGGTTAAGTAGCAGAGGTGGTCCTGCGGCTGAGCAGGACTGGAGGCTGGAGCTTTGCTTCAGTGTGGACATGCTGTGTCCCCAGGGTTCTCTCCAGTGCACAAGAACATGCCCACTGTGGCTGGAGGTCTTCGCTGGGCACAGGAGCTGAGGCAGCGCATCCAGGGTCCCTTCAGCAACTTCAGACGCATCACACATCCGTGAGTATCCTATTTATTCCTGAAAAACACGTTCATTTTTGCCTTCTGTTCCTTCTGTGGAATCTAAGTGTTGTAGAAATGCAACTCATTTGAGGCATGAAAGTCATTTCTTATCATTTCCAGAACTGATCAGTATCTTAGTCCTTTCAGGTTGCTAAAACAGAATCCCATAGACTGGGTAGCTTATATACATCGAAAATATATTCCTCATAGTTATGGAGGCTAGAAACCCAAAATCAAATTGCAGGCAGATTTAATGGTTGGTGAGCAAGGCCTGCTTTCTGACTTGCACATAGACCTCTTTACTGTGCCTTCATATGGCAGAAGAGAGGAGAAAGCTTCATCTGTTCTAGGCTGAGTGAACTCTTTATTTTTTTATTACTGTTTTTATTTTTTATATTTTATTTTATATATTTTTACATCATTTTTCATTTTTGTACAATGTATGCACTTTCCCCTTGGTTATATTGCCCATATAATTCCCACCCCCCCCCCTTATTTTGACCCTAATCTCCCCCCCACCCCAGTAGTGTGTCTCTGGTTTATACTTGCTTATTGATTTTGATTTTACTTTATTATACTTAGTATTTTTCCTGGTCCCTTATTTAGGTTTGCTAAATTCCTGCTATGAGTGAGACCATCCAGTATTTTTCTTTTTCTTTCTGGCTTATTTCATTGAGCATGATCCCTTCCAGCTCCATCCATGTTGCTGCAAATTGCATGAGTTTATCTTTTTTTGATTGCTGAGTAATATTCCATGGTGTATATGTACCACATCTTCTTGATCCAGTCATGTATTTTATTCTCCAGATAAAGAAACTGAGGCAAACAGAAGTGAGGTGATGTGCCTGAAATCCTAGAGAGAGTTGATGAAAGAGCTGAAACAGTGTCTGTTTCCCAGGGTTCCTAGCCTAGCGCTCTGCCTGGGGATCCTGCAGCTATGGGAAGCTGGACCAGAAACACAGCTGAGCCCTTATCTTCTCCAGCATACCCCAAAGTGGGAGAAAATATGTGAAATGGGAGAGGAGGGGAAGCAGGGCTGCTTCTAGGAACATGGGCTGCTTTAGTAGCTGCCATAGTTCTGGTTCCCTGGGTGCAGACTCAAGTGCAAGAATTTATAGGCATGCTTTGGGAACATCACTGTGAGGAGGTGGTAGTAGGAGGATGGAATGGGACAGAGGAAGAAGTTGAACTGCAATACATTTGAAGGAGACCTCAGCACATCCTATGGGGAAACTCTGGCCCATCAGGATTGTCCTGCCTTTGTACCCCCATCAGCTAGTTTATGGAAGTGAGCATTCTAGGAGAAAGGTGTGACCTTGGGGGAGCAGGTTTTCTTTGGCTGAGGCTGTTCCTGAAGGAAGAAGCAACTGCTTCACCAGCAGCCAACACTCTTCTCCCAATAGAGGTGGGGGTTGGGGGGTGGTCAGAGTGCCTGGTACCAAGAGGGGAGCTGAATAGCACCTTACAGTGTCCTCTGCAGTTCCCATGAAAAATCCTATTTGTTTTAAAAAATGAATTTGTACTGTACTCTGTAAAATATATGTATTGGTTATTAAAGGTGTTTTCTACTCCTCACCATGAAGTGAAGTAGAATCTGCAGGGAATTTCACAGCACTTATTCCCATGACTTCAGCTAGGCGACTGCCATAGGTCCCAGTGAGAAAATCTCTCTTCTCCTGTCTCATTCTTTTCCAGACACAAAACTGAGGTGGGTCCTGGGGTGATGAAATTAGCAGAACTCACAGTTTGTGAGGGGAGGGCTGGGCACAGGCCCTCCCACCTAATCTGAAGCCCTTTTCTCTGCTGGCTGCCTGGCACCTCAGCCAGGGCAGCTCATTCACCACAAAAGGAATCTAAGGGACTGGGGGAAACTCCAGCAAGCCCAGTGCTTTTCCTACAGGCATGAGGGCTTATCCTGAAAGCTCAGGGTATCTTGTGAAGAAACCCTATGTTGTTTTAAAGAACAAATGAATTTTAAAGAATTTTTGGAATAAGCTGCCTATTTTGTGGCAGAACAAACCAAAACAGACCCTCCAACACAGTTGCTGTGAGGTTTCTGATCACAGATACTTCAGCAACTTTCCCAGGAGATATACCCTTCTTTATTTTTTAAAATACTTTATTTTTTTTTATTTTTGTGTAGATGAACTGGGGTGTAGGCCAGAGGTGGGGAGGGAGGGTGAGAGGACTCACCAGAGACAGAGTGGGAAGCAGGACAGGCAGAGGTAGGGAAATACACTGCTTAGGGGAGCAGTGGAAGAGATGTGAGAGGTCTGCAACACCATGTGGTTCAGCGCCCTGGCTGGGATCGAAACTGAGGCCATCGTGGTGACAGGGCTGAAATTTAACCCCTAGCCTCCAGGGAGGCCCTATACTCTTGAATTCATATTACAAAGGAGTGTCAAAACCAGGGGAGAAGTTATGGGTACTGGGACCTCAGGCCAGACTGTGTTCATGTCCTCTGTGGTCCTCAACATTCCCATGGAAGTCTGTGTGTGTGTGTGTGTGTTTGTGTGTGAACATTACTATACACACACACATACATATATATATATATATATATATAATGTTATATTTATAGAGAGAATATTGACAGGTTTTTTTTAAATACAGAAAATACCACCTACAATTGTTTTCATGTCTCAATTTCCTTTTTATTCCCATAGTTGGAGGACTTCATTTACCTGTGCATGACTGACTCAGCCAGAGTAGGGTGGCAGGGAAAGTCTCTGCAGCCCTGTCACCTGTGGGGCTACCTGTATATCAGGAAGTTCAGACGCCCTCTAGTGGTCACCTAGAAGATGTTTCAGAAGAAAAGCACCTGCTCATTTAGGGGCTTTTGAAAACTAGTCCGGAAACTCTTCAGTCTCTTCTTCTTTATAGGTGTCAGTTTGTCACTCAGATCCTTGTTTTGGCTTCTTCTAATTTAGTGTAATTTTTCCTCTTTTTTGTATGGCTAGTTGCATGGAATCTGCTGAAGGAAAGCGAATGATACAAAAATATGAAGATACGGTCTCATTGCTGGAAAAGTAAGCAGCTCTTGGGATTGTAATGTTCTGAAAATTGCATAGCCCCCACCATGCCTTTTGCAGTTCTGAGCTTGTGCATATTCCTCAGTGACTTTGAAATGTCACTCAGTGTTTCAGGTTATAACTACAATATTTGTGAGTACAGCGTTTCTGGGCTGCAAACACTGGGTCTCTGGGGGAATGCAGCTCTATTCTAGAATCCAGACACTTTTCCAGTGTAGTTTTGTTGGGAGCATGAACTTGGCAGAGCTAAGAGAAGTGAGGTACTCCTGTGGCACTCTGAGATCAGTGTCGTGGAAAATCACACCAGCTGCTCACTAAGCAGAAAGCAACAGTTCATGCTTTGCAAAGAGAAAAGTAGTTTTAAAAATACCTCCCAATTCCTTTCATGGAGAAAGCATAAGAATAAATTTTACATGTGTTCATACTTATTTCTGCTTTAAAGCTGCAGGAATCTTTTGGGGCTAGGTTTAATGCCCACACTGTTGTCAGATCTGATGTCACCACATCCCCCCAGGTGGGAAGCCTCTCAGTGCCTCCCATCATCTCAACGTGGTATTATAGTCATTCCTGACATTGCCTTTGCCTCCTCTCCAGCCTTGATCCTTACCCCTTCCTGCCTCTGGTGCGCTGTCTAATTCTCACTCCCAGAACACAGTCTGCTCTTTCTCATCTTTACCCTTTGTCAAAGCTGTTGTTTCTGCCACAAATGCCCCCTCATACCTCATTGTCCAAACTCTACTCATCATCTGAGTCTTAGTGAAGCATCACTTTCACCCTTTTTCCATGACATATTCCCTGGCATTCTCCTTGTCACCCCCTCCCACCCCCACCAAATTGTAGCAAATAGCACATAAAATGTAAAATAACACTCAATATAATAAAAACAGGACTTATATGATAAAAACATACTCTATAGAAAGACATTCCAGGGATGGGACCCTTCTTGCTGCTCAGGGTGCAGGCTGCCTCTGGAATGATAGCTGTAAAACAAACACTGAACACTATTTTTGCTTTTTGTCTCTTGTCCTAAAAATCCTCCTCTGACTTCTTTTGACTGGCAAAAACAGGTATTAATGTAGGTCTCTCATTGAAAGTGAAGTAACATAAGGTGAACTTTCAAAAAGCAGAGGGTACTATATATAGAGATGTATGTTATATGTGCTATTATATATATTCAGTTGATATATATTTTATACTTTTATTTATATAATTATGTATCTGGTTTACATATATATCTTCAGTCTATCATTGACAGACATTGGGAGTTGGAGGGTATCTATGAGGTGGTCATTGTCTCTGATCCTTGCAGGTATGAGACAAGACTTTATGAAAACTGGTGTCAGACTGTATCAGAGAAGTCACAGTACAACCTTTCTAGGTCGCTTCTGAAACGCGACCCAGAGACAAAGCAGATCACTGTCAACTTTAACCCACAGGTAAGTCAGGTTGACATCACTTCCTTTTAAGTCCCTGAAGAATTTTATTAAACTCTTGATCACAAAAGCAAAGAGACTTTTTATAAGAATATGTAAAAGCTCCCTGGGTTTTCTTTTTAAGAAGAACCTGTACTGCTATGTTTTCTTCAGTTGTCCATGATTGTCATATTCTTCTCCAGGGTCAGGTAATATATTTGCTTTGATTTTTCAAGACAGAAAATATTGTAAAATATCACTGATCATTTATTATCAAAGAGCCAATTCAGCCTGCACTGAATACACACTGCATGTGAAGGCCATTGACTAGACATGGGAGGGCCAACCAAGTGTAATACCTGGTTCTTGCTCTCAAGGAACCCATAAGCCACTTGGGAGCCAGAACTTCAACGTGCAAAAAAAAAAATTCTATCTTCAGAATTTAGGATATAATAAATCTCAAAGGAGAAGCTTTGGAAATAAGACTTTAGAGTAGAGATTGTCAACAGACATGACTTTGTCCTTCTGGAGATATTTTTGGTTGTCAAACATGGAGGGAGTGGTAATAGCAAATAATAGACAGATACCAGGTTTGCTGAGCTCCTATATGCACTGAACAACTCACCACAACAAAGAGATTTTTTGTCCAAAAATATCAGTAGTGCTGAGATGGTAGGATATAGAAACAATTCAAATGCCCCAAAATTGATGATGGATCAAGAAGATGTGGTATATATACAGAATAGAATATTATTCAGCAGTCAAAAAAGATAAACTCATGCTATTCACAGCAACTTGGATGGAGCTGGAAGGGATTATGTTCAGTAAAAAAAGTCAGAAGGAAAAAGAAAATTATCAGATAGTTTTACTTAAAGGAGGACTATAGGAGAAACAAAGGATCAGGAAAATTATAATAATAATACATAAATAAAAAACATTAGGGCCTCCCCGGTGGCGCAGCGGTTGAGCGCTGGGTTGCGAAGCTGCCGGCGACCTCTGCGGCACCGGTTCGATCCCCAGCTGCTCCCCGGCCACCAGAGGAGGGTCCCACATGGCGCGCAGACCTCTCCTGCCGCCCGCTGCTCCCCTCAGCAGTGTCCTTTGGTCCTTCTGCCTGCTCTGCTCCCCGCTCTGGCTCTGGTGAATTCTCTCACCCTCCCGCGCTTCTGACTGTACCCAGTGCATGTATAAACAAAACAAACAAACAAACAAATAAATAAATAAAAACATGCCTCTATAAATAAAAAAAAAAAATTAAAAAAAAAAAAAAAAAAACATTAGCAGGCAACTATAAATCAGAGACATTCTGCAGGGGAGGGGAGGGAGAGGGATCAAACCAGGGGTGGGAAGACCACAGGAAACTATGGTGATGGTGTATGGGTGAATTGGTGGTGGGAATTTTATGGGACTACACCTGAGAGGAGAAAGCAAATATTGTATAAAAATGAACAATGATGTAAAATCTATATAAAATAAATTAATTTAAAAAATCTTAGTGCTGAAGAAAAGGATAACTCCAAATTAGAGCATATCAGGAAATGCATCATTAGGCTAAAAAATATATTGACCACATTGAGCTAAGAGCTCAACCTATTTCTGTCTTGATAACATGTTCTCCAGGAATGCAGCACAGAAAGAACTGAACACGAAGCTGATAACATATTATTGTCTTCTGAGAAAACTGTAGTTTGAATAGAACTTCCATTTTGACTAGAATAAAAACCAACAAAGGGAGTTAAAGAATCCATTTCTGCACTTTGGCAAGACATGAGCCTGTCATTTAGCTCATTTAGCTCCTTGGAGTAATTTTATCAGCATTTGCTGCAAGCAGTATTGAATATTAAATGTTCAAAGAGATGAGCATCTGGATTACCAACTTGGCCAGTCTAGATGTTACCATTTCAGTATTTCAGTCCTCAGTTTTAGGCAGTCTTGAAGGTGAACCTCTACACTCCAAGGGTGAGGTCTCAATTTCCCAATGTGTAGCACATAGTAGACGCTTCACCAGTGTTTGTAAGTCAAAGAAGGGGAAGGAGAGAGGAAAGGAGTGAAAATAGAAAAAGAGAGAGGAGATAGGTACCTGAATTATAATATGTGTTGAGAGGAGACAACTACAAGAGGGCAAAGAAGAGTTGCCTTCTTGACTTTCGAGCTTCAAGGTGTGTAGCAAATGTTACATGGAGCCGGAATAAGAAATGCATGGGAGGAAAAATATATATGTATATTTATGTAAATTATTTATTTATTGTAATTTATTTTAAGTGACATTATCGGGCATGTAAATTATTTTCTGGTTTTATACCTCTGCACCTCTTTAATCCTCAGGTGTACCTTTTTATTTTTAACATTTTAACAGCTCTGAAAATGGCATATTTTTATAGTTTAAAGAAACACATTTTTCCTTCTTCCTTAGTTTTTTCCCCATCTTACAACTGGATAAAATATAGCATAAACAATGCCACAGTAAAGATCTTTAGTGATTATAGTATCCATTCTTGATTATTATTTGGAATAAATGCCTAAAAATGGAATTAGTGGACTAAAGTCTTTTGTAATTTGAGACTTTGCGTGCATGTAATCTACCCATTCTTCAGAGAATGGAGCTCAGTCATTCTCCAGGAGTAAGATATCATTCAGTCCTTCAAATCCTTTTCAACTTGTTGAACTAAAAAATATTTCATTTGCATTTACTCTACTATTACTAAAGTAGAACATTTTTCACATGCTCATTGACAATTTGTATTTTTACTATGAACTGCTTGTACATTTCCTGTGCCCATTTTCTGATGGGAGTCCCCTATTTCCTGTGAACTTGCTAGAATATTTGGGAAATATTTGTCAACTATTAAGAAATAAGCTACAAATTTTTTTTACCAGATTAAGTGTGTCATTTTATTATATGTATACTTTATGTACACATTATATGCAAGATAAATTTTATCTTTTATTTGTGGTTGCTTGGAATGACCATCTCTATCTCAATATGATATAAATAGTCCCACATTTTCTTTTAAATTTTGTTGCATTTTTTACATTAATTTTTTTTAATATCTACAGTTCATTTCCCTATCAAATGGTTAGCATTTATCTTAATCCTGAGTGGGGTTGACTGGGCAACAATGAACTGGTACAAAGCCATTAGAGGAAGATGTCAGGGGAGTTTTAATCCGGAGAAGAGGCATGGGTAAAGATGGGAGGAGAAATTGTGACTTGGTATCTGTTTTCTCATCCACCCTATACACATTAGTCCTTACAGTTTCAAATATAAACATAATAAACGAGAGGGGATGAGGGGAGCACTTAGAACCCTCTTGGAGTCCTCTGTTGTTTCACTGGGCCATATCTGCTTGACTTTTCATTTCTGCGGTTGCCTCTAAACTTAGGGGCCCACAAAGTTTCGAAGAGGCTTGAGTGATTTCCATTTCCTCACTACCTAGTATGTTAAAACAAAAAGCAATACAAGCACAGGCTTACAGAGATTATGAGATATTTAAAATAATTTTGTTTGGTAATTAAAGTTGCATGATGAGCATCTCCTCTCAATCTTTCCAGTGTCTCCTTGACTATGTGAAGCCAAGTCTACTTGAATTCATTTGGAGGAAATTTGACCATACATAGAGGTCCAAAGTTGAAACTGATCATGCATGTGGGTGGCCCAGGCCAGGTCACCACCCTTCACTGGGAACTGGCTTCATCAGCCACATACTCCAAAGGATCAAGGCAGAGCCCTTCCCTGCTATCACCGGTGTTTCTTCTCTCGGTTTTCTCTCTTCCTGCTCTTTGTGATTTACAGATTCAGTAAACATTATTGTGTTCTGAGTCATATACCTTTTGCCTAACATTCAATTTCCCTTCCTGGTGAATAGATTTAAGGAACTGGTGGGAGCAGAAGTTAAGAAGGAACCCAGAAGACCCCTGGGTTCCATTCCTCCATCCACATTGCAGCTATTTACTGCCACTAGGCTATAGCCTCCTATGTTGACTCTTTTCTCCAGTTGATTTCAGTGTTGAAAGAAATGAGTTATCTTGAACCCAGGCAGATGAAGCACATCCCTGAAACAGCAGCAGCCATGTTCTCCTCCAGGGAATTCTATCGGCAGCTTGTGGCTAATTTGGAATTGATGGCAAATTGGTACAACAAGATTATGAAAACTCTGCTGGAGGTGGAATTTCCATTAGTGGAGGAAGAGCTGAAAAACATTGATTTCTGCCTGAGAGCAGCAGAGGAGACTATGAACTGGAAAACAGAAGGTAACAGGAAGACGGGGGCAAAGGGTGGTAGCTAAGAGTCTAAATAAAGTAAGTAGAACCTCAAATTACTCCCCTGTAATCTCAATTGGGTTTGAAATACAAGCCTACCTTCTCCTTAGACATATATCTAAAGTAGAGAAGCCAAGGAGGGCTGGTATTCTATCTGCATTCTCTTTGGATATAACCGGTAGATTTAGAAATATTTCTTGCCATGTACTTCAGGGGCTCAGGGACTGTATGACCTGTCACAGTCTCCAGCACATATTGGGCACTCTGCAAATGAGCCTTTTTCTATATTATCATTGTTACTTAATTTTCTCAACTAGACTGTGAACATCTTAAATGAGAGAGCTATGAGTTTCTCTGTACCAAGTTTTTTATATTTGGTAGGCAAGCCTTACCTCATTCTCTTCCCCCATAATCAGGGTTGTGGTAAGAAAATACTTTTTGCTATAATTAGGTAGGAAAATTCTCTCATGATAGTGAAGTAAACTATGCAGGAAAGACTAATAAAACCCATAATTTTAAATCCTTGTATTTTATAACAACTAGATCTTTAGTTATACCTCTATAAACTATTTCTATTATTTATATCTCTTTTGTGGAGCAGGCATTTGGGATTATGTCATTAAAATTACCAATGATATTCATGATCTCGAACAAAGAATTCAGAGAACTAAAGACAACGTGGAAGAGATTCAAAATATCATGACAACATGGGTGTCTCCAATATTTAAGAGAAAAGATGGAAAAAAGGAATGCCTTCTTTCCATGGAAGATCAGCATGATAGGATGGAAAAATACTACAATCTCATTAAAGAATCTGGTCTTAAGATCCATGCCCTTGTTCAGGTAATAACCAAACACTCAGACGCACATGCCATGAGTATAGGGAAAGCAGCAAGAAGTGTTTTTGGATACAAGAAGTGATTTGGAAATAAGAACAATCAATAGATGTTGCATCTTCTGCAATCAGGGATAGAAGTTTATACAGCTAGCAAAATAACTAAAGCTAATACCTAAGGGGAGTGAAAAGTCACATTCCAGTTTTAGTGTGTCAAAATTAATACTATCTAAATAATGACAACTCTTAGTTGTTACGTGGCTTAAGGTCTACACCACATCTTCATGGGATGGAAGGAGATGCCAAGGACAGAATCTAAATTATCTACTATATTAATGACCCCAACTTGCCCACACACACTAGTGTGTGGTTCTCCAGTATCATCCTCATAACCTAGCTTTACAGTGTCTGAAAGATAAAAGATTACCAGGGTAATCTTAACTGCATTTGATAAAGAGAATAAAAAATGAAGATCATTGCCCTTCATGCAGTAAGTCTCTCCTCTGCATCGTGATTAGGATAACCTCATGTCCTGTCATGAAAGACTGAACAATGGAGAAGAGCTATACAGACTACCAGCTCTGACCCTACTGAAGTAGTCATAGGACTCTTCTGACAGTCTGATCTCATGAACAAAGTCAATAACAAATCCCAGTTGTTATCTTTGGGTTATCTATGGGTTAAAGCACAATAAAATGATGAACCTTAAGCTCTAATGATGACCAGTAAAAGGGATAATTGCCATAATTGTGACTTTGAAAGATAGAGTCCCTCAACTTGATATATTTTTAACCTCTTCTGGCCATATGTCCAGTAATTCAGGAAACATAGTGTGGATTCCCAGACATAATTCTTTTAATCCACCTTTTGTCCAACTATCCATTTATTTACTCATCTATCCACCTAGTGTCTATCCATTAGCTATATTTCCAAAATTCTCCTAGGCACTATATTGAATATCAAGAAAATGCAAGATAGAGATCCTGCCTTTGAGTGGAAGAAAATCAAAGACAAACTCCAGAAAATACTTAAGATTTGAAAAGTTTGTATGTCTGTATGTAATATGTGCTGAATTAATTTTCATTTACTAGGCAATATAGGGTTTGAGTTTATTGCTCTACATATAAATATATGTGCACTGGACAACATGTTTTTTATTCCATTTTTTAATAATGTTCTATAAGATCAATTATTTCAAACTTGTTGATAGCATAGTTCAGATCTTCTATGACTATTTTTGGCTTTTATCTATTTGTTCTACCAATGACTGGATAAAATCTCCACCTATGATTTTGGATTTGCATATTTCTTTAGTTCTGTCAGATCATTTTTTTAATCAAATAATTGAAGCTCTGTTTGTGGGTGCAAGTACATCTATAATTATAATTTCCTGATAAATGAACAATTATATATTTATGAAAGTCCCTTTTTTTCTAATAATACTCCTTTATCTTGAAATCTGTTTTTGATGTAATATAACTTTTCTTTACAGACTCCTTCTTCCTACATTTTTGCATTATCCCTCTTTTCACACCCCTTTAGATTCAGCCTATTTCTTTGAATTCAAATTTGCTCCCTTATATATAGCATATGTAGAATCATACTTTTTAAAAATCTAGCAACTCTGCCTATTAATTGGAATGTTTAGAATATTTACATTTAGTGTAACTATTGATATCATTGGATTTAGCTTTTCTATTTTGCTGTTTGTTTTCTATTTTCCTCATATCTTTTTTGTTCTATTCCTCCCTTCCCACCTGTTTGGTGATATATTGTATATTTTTTAGTATTCTATTTAAATTTTTAATTGATATTTCACCTTTACTTTATTTGCATTACATTTTTAGTGAGTTGTTCTAGGTTTTAGATTTTTTTTTAAGATTTATTTACTTATTTATGTAAGAGCTGGGTACAGGCCAGAGGTGTCAGGGGTGAAAGGATTCACCAGAGACAGAGTGGAGAACAGAACAGGCAGATTGACTGAAGTACACTGCTGAGGGGAGCAGCGGGTGAGACAGGAGAGGTCTGCTGCACCATGTGGGGATCAAACTCTTCTGCAGTGGCTGCGGCTAGCTTCATAGGTTGCGCCTTAACCCCTTGCACCACCAAAAGGCCCTAGGTTTTAGATCTTGAACTAGTCACATTGTCCTTAATGTTATCTCATGGAATATAGGAACTCAGTAACAATATGATTCAATTCAATCACCTTTTAGCTTTCGCACTATTAGTATGTGTGTGAGCGTGTGTATGTATGTGTATAAAATAACCCCCAAAATAGAGTGTAATTTTTATTGCTGTAAAAATGTCATAAAAATACTTATAGTACATTACATCTACCCACATATTCACAAGATCCAGTGTTATTATTTCTTTCTACAGAACTGAGTTATCATCTACAGCCACTCTTCAGCCTGAAGAACTTCCTTTAGTATTTCTGTAGTTCAAGTCAGCTAATGACACATTCTCTCAGTTTTTCAATTTGTTTATATGAAAATGTCCTTATTTCACCTTAGGTTTTGAAGGATAGTTTCACTGGGTATATATTTCTGTGTAGACAGTTTTATTTTTCTTTCAGAAGTCATTTCATTGTCTTTTATTATGTTTCTGATGATTAGTCAGCCATAATTTGTGTCTTTGTTCTTCTATCTGTGATGTATTATTTATCTTAGGATGTTTTTAATAGATTCTTTCATAATCTCTGTATTTGTTTCCATTTGACTATCATGTGCCTAAGTGGGTTTTCTTTGTATTTATCCTGCTTGAAGTTTGTGACCTTCTTAATTCTGGTTTTCATGAAATTTAGGAATTTTTTAATTAAATTATGGCATTCTTGTGTCATAATTACAGTATCTGCTTTATTTTCTGAGTCTCCTTTTTAATACAACAGAAATTCCTTTTTCTCTTAGCTGAAATAGGAAAAAGGAACAGGTATTTTAATTATTATGGCAGCTCTTTTTCTGAATCTGTTCTTAGTGATTGTTTTCTCTCCTGGTAAATTTCACATTTTCTCATTTCTTTACTTGTCTAGTGATTTTTATTATGTTCTAGTCATGTGAAATGCCTCTTTATTACAATATGAGTGTTATTTTCTTTAGAGAGCTTGTGGCTTTGATTTGGCAGGCAATTAACTGAAAGCTAGGTCCGCTTGATCCTGTGGAAATTCCATTTTAAGCTTTGTTTGGGAGATTCTAAATAGGTCTTAGCTGCAATCCTAAAGCATAGTATTTCTGGAGTCTCACCTGAATTCCTAGGTTAACTGAAAGTTCCTTTCATTATTTATGATAGAAAATGACATCTTACAGCACTGTTTGACCTACATAATTTTCATTCAGTTTGGTGGCCTCCGTAAATCTTCTCTGCCAAACCTTACAGTCTTGCCATAAATATGTATGGCTTAATACTCAGTCAAAGATTCAAGAGGACTCAGTTGCCCCACACCTAAGGAAGGATGTTGTGATTAAGGTCCACTTCCCTATGCCATTATTTGAAAAGTGCCTCTAGGTAGAAAATCAACTGGATATGAATCTTTGGTTCCTTTCTCTTAAGAATCATATGCCTGCCCTTTCTTTTATCCACTTGCCCAAAACAACTGTTTCTTGCATTGTATCCAGTTCTATTATTGTCTGTATAAGAAGGGCAAAGTCAATTTCATTCCTCATTATGATAGTATCAGAAATGTAAGCTATTTCTTTATAGTTCACAGAAAATTCTAACATGTTTGCTTCTTAGACCATTAGATTTGAGGTAGATAAGTAAATGGTACAGAAAATTATATTGATGATAATGTGACAATAGAGAGGAATAAGATTATTAGACAAAGCAGTCATAAAAACTATTTTTTTTTAATTTAGAAATAGACAAACATATACTGCTTAATACCTGAGAGCAATTCTGTATTGTCATTGTATTATAATTTGCATGATGATGGGCTTTAATTAATTAATCATATCTTAAATCTACTTAGGAAGTGCTAATGCACTTAAAAGTTTTGTCACTTAAAGGTAAGATCATGTGATTTTTTTTAATCCAAGAGAAATTACAACACCGCAGTGTTTCCTAAAGGGATGTGAGCCACCTTGAAAATGTACTTCTGCAAAGTATTTATTACTTTCATCAACAAAAAGTCAACAATAGCAAGGTGACCACAGAACTGAGACATACAGCAAAGAAGGGGCTAGGAAGGGGGCCACAAAACAGGAGGAGAAGGAGAAACACAAGGGAATATGGTGATGGTTCATGGGTGATACAGTGGCAGGAGAACTATGAGTACTACAATGATACAATTATATAAGACAAAAATTTAATTAATAAAAAAGTATTTAGTGCTTTCTCTGAAGAGATAAGATAGAGGGTTACTATATTTTCCATACTATCAGATCACAACAGTATCATGTAAAAGAGAGAAGTGGGGAGACAGGGAAGGAGAGAGAAAGACAGAGAGAGAGAGAGAGAGAGAGAGAGAGAGAGAGAAGGATGAAGGATAAGAGCATGGACATTTGTTTTCTAAATCATTCAGATGAGAAAGGTTTATATTTAATATTAATAATCAATAACAAATCACTCCCACTCATTTCTAAGCATTGTCTAGGAAATGCTTCACTTGTTTGAGACCAAAATTTTTATAAGCCTTGAATCATAATGTCCTTTACCCTTAGTATTCCCTCCTCTTCTTTCCTAACTTCTGCTGAGGCAGCTTCTTCCATACTATGACTGTCAGCATTTATGAAGCATACACTATATTCATCAATAGTCCTCTTGAGAAGGTAGCCTGACCCTGTCCTCCTTTCTCACAGTCAGGATGAGACAACATATTCCCTTCATGGATTAACTTTGTAGTCTTTTAATCAGTGGTCACACCCATTTGACAGAATGGATTTGATGCATGTGTAATAGCAAGTATTTCAAATTAATGCTTATTTCCTCCATGTGTTGCTTTTATTGCCGTCAATGAGCATTTCTTTAGTTCTTCCATGTTATTAAACATATTTCATATATGTTCTTCTTTATTTTGTAGGAAAACCTGTGTCTGTTTTCAGCAGACCCAGCCTCCAATATCTGGAAGACTTATGTTAATTACATTGATGATATGTTGCTGGATGGATTCTTTCTTGCCATTGAGTGCTCCCTCAAGTACCTCCTGGAAAATACTGGTAGTTACTGGCTTAGAGATGTGGAATAAATTATTACTGGAAAGATAACAGTAATATCATCTGCTAAATTATACTGAAGTACAATTGAGTGTTCTATGACTTTGCCCAAATGTTGTGGCCATATTCAATTTGTGAATTATATACAATAAGATAGCAAAAGTACTGACTTTGTAAATTGTTCTAAGAGATGGAACTTCCATATCTTTAAAACTCATGCTCTAAGATAATGAAGCCCATAGCAAAGCAAAAACATTAAAAACTAATTCAATCTAAATCAAGCTTCAGTGAGAGGAGTGACTAAGTTGGAGCAGTGAAATAATAGTTACTAATGATGACTTCATCTGGATTGACACGTGGGAATGGGAGGGGGACAGTCTGTGCTTCAAGCTTCATGTAATTCATCTCTGCAGTCTTTTGAGAATATGGGGAGGCTGTAAATAGCCAGGTTAAGTATAAGAAATACAAGTTTTCCTGTGTGAAAGAGTCAGATAAGAAGCTGGAGATATGGTTGCTGTCAGAAGGAGAAGTAATGTTAAGAAAGTAATGGGCAGTCTTTGAAACTGTTGAAAAAGACTGTTAAAGGCTTTATCATAGATAAACTGGCCTATGGTTTTGAACAGAGTCAAAAATATAATAGGGGCTAACTTTGGTTAGTAAGTGATGACATGGAAAAAAGACAGAAGGTTCAGGGCTAAAGTTGAATTAAATCTTCACAATCTGGTTGAATCTGAGATGATTTGAGCAAGGATTATATCAAAAAATTAGTCAAACTAGGGAAGCAGAAGTAAATATTTTGAAGACGAAGAATGAAGGTGAGATCAGAGTTGAAGACAATGATTTCAACCTAAGGAAAAAAAAAAAACAAATGGAGAATTAAAATAGGTAGGCCAGCATCAGCGCCCAGATAGGCAACACATTTAAGAGAGTGCATGCAGAATACAGAGAGGAAGGGCACAATACTGGATGGTAATTCAGACAGGCAAATTTCTGACAGTCTTGGTAGGAGGAGTAAGTAACTGAGATTAGAGACATGATCTCTGCTTGCAGGCAGGAAGGGTATCCTAAGTCAAGGAGATCTAGCAACAGGATACAGGGGTTCAGCATTGTCAACAAGGTGGGAGATCATCTTCTAGAACCTGGAGACAAGTAACCAGTGAAGTATGGAGCACAGGCACTGAGACTGAATAACTGCTTCTTAGGGAGCAGGCCCTATAGCATTTACCTTAGTGAACTGACTAAACCTCCTCTGATGTCAGTGGCTGAAGGGTTCTCATCCCTAGAAGCTCCAGGAAGATACCCAGCTGCACTTGAGGAGAGGCCCATCATGAGAGAGGGATCTTGACTTCAGTGTCTCCACCCTTGGCCAGTAGCTATCCAGCTCTCCGGATGTGGATTGTCTGATGTGTCACTTGTCCTCCTCTTGTGAAAAGGAGAAGATGGGAGCAATAGGATGAAGAGAAGGCACAGTAGTGTTTCTTCAAGATTGCCAATGTTACTTTCCCTACCTGGAAATGGGAGGAAAAGGGAACATATTTTTTTCACACTGTAGCAGCTCCCTAAGCTGAAAATCTATTGGCAAAATTTAAAAGGCACTGCTTCTCTAAAAGCAGGTAAAGGAGTCTGAAAAGCATAGCCTCTGAGAAGAAAAAAATCACTCTGACCCTTTGCAATAGCTCAGTGTGTCCACTTCATGTTCTCTGATCCACCCTTACCATTTTCACTTTCTTGTGCTGTCAAGTCAGTACAATTTCCATGGCTTGGGCTGGCCCCCAGTCATCTCTCAGAGTCCAAACTCTCTCCAGTTTAAGTGCAACCCACTCTATTTCACACCTGGCTGCAAAGTAGAACTGGGAAATGCTACATGCCCATTTATCACCATTTCTGTGAAGAAGGTGGATAATGGAGATTTCAATGAGTAGACTCTACCACCCATGGTATCCAAAGTGTCCATCACCTTCTTTAAAATGATTTACTTGTACCAAGGTTGTGTCACTTGTACCAAGGTTGTGGACTATATATTAATATACAGTCTGGCTTGTATACTAATGATGTTGGCATGGCATCTTGTATTGGCATTAGTTTCTCATGTCAGCCCACGGGGCACAAATGTCATATATTAAGGTAGTCTTGATAAGTCCTCTAAACCCTGTAAATTTTATGCAACCTGATGTATTAAATTATAAATATCTAATGCATATAGTAATATAGACTATATTGTGAGTATACAAAGCATTATATTATAGTTTTTTTTTTTAATTTCGTTATGGTAGTGTAGTTACTGTTCTATTGGTAAACTCTCATTCCCTTAAGATAAATATGTATTTTATGGGATACTCTTGAATCCAATAATGCAAATTTATCTTGTCTACAGTTTTGAAAGCAAGTCCCTATTTTCAGGATCCCAGGTTTTTTGTTAAGGTGAATGGCTAAGCTGTAGTAACAAAACTATCAATAATATGGCTTAAAGGACCAAGATGTCTATCCCCCAAGTACTAGTCCAATGTGAGTGCACCAGGATAGTGGGTAGGTTCCTTCCATCCTGTGGTTCCATTCTCTAAGGCCTTATCTTCATTTCTGTGGTTGAAACTCATGCAGGCACTAGTGGGAGGGGAGGGTGGAGAAAGATTGCATAAAAAAGGCTCATCTGCTGTCTCAGGTACTCAGCCCCAAGATGGCACCCATCCCTTCTTCCTACACTCCAACAGTGAGGGAATCATGTTTTCACACTGGCTGCAAAGTAGCGCTGGGAAATGCTGCATGCCCGTTAGTAACCATTTCTGTGAAGAAGGGGGATAATGGATTTCAATGAGTAGGCCCCACCACCCATGGTATCCAGACATAATAGCATCCTAAATATTGCTACAATCATCTGTACTAGTACTCATGTTTTTTTTTTCTTTAATATGACTCACTTTTTAAATTAAAAAATAATCACCAAAATTTTTTCTCAGTCAAAAAGATATATCAAATTAAGTGGTTATTGATAAAAGTTTAAGCATTTATCTTGTATTTGAAACATCTTGCTTCATGTTTTATTTTATTTTTTTTAAATAATAAATTTTATTTTTATATTCCCCCATACAATTGCAAACGCCCCATTCTGACCCCAATCCTACCCTCCCGCCCCCCACCCCCCAAAAACTGTCTCTGGTTCATAGTTTTTTGTTGATTTTGATTTTCACTTTCTTATATTCATTTTCCTGGTCCCTTATTTAAGTTTTCTAGATTCCTGCTATGAGTGAGACCATCCGGTATTTTTCTTTTTCTTTTTGGCTTATTTCGCTGAGCATGATCCCTTCCAGCGCCATCCATGTTGCTGCAAATTGCATGTGTTTATCTTTTTTGAATGCTGAGTAATATTCCATGGTGTATATGTACCACATCTTCTTGATCCAGTCATCTACTTTTGGGCATTTGGGTTGTTTCCAAAGCTTAGCTATTGTAAACAGTGCTGCTATAAACATAGGGGTGCAGGTGTTCTTTGGAATTGATGTTTCTGTGTCCTTTGGGTAAATACCTAGGAGTGGAATTGCTGGATCATATAGAAGCTCTATGTTTAGTAGGTCCAGAAATCTCCACACAGCTCTCCATAGTGGTTGGACCAGTTTGCACTCCCACCAACAGTGCAGAAGAGTTCCTTTTTCTCCACACCCTCGCCAACATTTGTTGTTGTTAGTTTTTTTTAATATGTGCCATTCTCGCTGGTGTGAGATGGTATCTCATGGTAGTTTTGATTTGCATTTCCCTGATTACAAGTGATGTTGAACATTTTTTCATATGTCTGTTGGCCATTTGCATTTCCTCTTCAGAGAAGTTTCTTTTTAGCTCTTCTGCCCATTTTTTGACTGGATTATTTTCTTTGTTGTTGCTGAGTCTCATCAGCTCTTTGCAGATTTTTGTGATCAGTCCTTTATCATTAGTGTTGGGTGCAAAAATGTTCTCCCAGTTGGTGGGGTTTCTCTTTGTTTTTGTTATTGTCTCTTTTGCTGTGCAGAAGCTCTTTAATTTGATGTAGTCCCAGCTGTTTATCTTTGCCTTCATTATCACTGCTTTGGGTGATGTATCTGTAAAGATGTCTTTGATGTGCAAATCCCGTAGTGTTTCGCCTATATTTCCTTCTATGTATTTTATGGTTTCAGGTCTTATGTCTAGTTCTTTAATCCATTTTGAGTTGATTTTTGTGTATGGTGTGAGGTAGTGGTCAAGCTTCATTCTTTTGCATGTAGTGACCCAGTTTACCCAGCACCATTTATTGAACAAACTTTCTTTGCTCCAATGCATAGTCTTTGCTCCTTTGTCAAAGATTAGTTGACCATAAATCTGTGGGTTTATTTCTGGATTTTCTATTCGATTCCATTGGTCTGTATGTCTGTTCTTTTTCCAATACCATGCAGTTTTGATGATTATGGCTTTGTAGTATAGTTTGAAGTCTGGGAGTGTGATGCCTCCATTTCCTTCTTTTTTTTTCAGTAGAGCTTTGGCTATTCGGGTTTTTGGTGATTCCATATGAATTTCATCAATAATTGTTCTATTTCTTTGAAGAATGCCATTGAGATTTTGATTGGAATAGCATTGAATCTGTATATTGCTTTTGGTAGGATGGCCATTTTAATAATGTTTATTCTTCCAATCCGTGAGCAGGGGATGATGTCTTTCCATTTCTTTGTGTCTTCTTCTATTTCTTTTAACAGTGTTTTATAGATTTCTTTGTATAGGTCCTTTACCTCTTTTGTTAGATTTATTCCCAAATATTTGATTTTTTTTGTTTCGATAATAAAAGGGATGGTTTTTTTGATTTCTTCTTCTTCAGATTTGTTGTTTGTGTATAGGAAGGCTACTGACTTTTGCGTGTTGATTTTGTATCCTGCCACTTTACTGAATTGATTGATGAGTTGAATTAGTTTTTCTGTGGAGATTTTGGGGTTCTCTAAGTATATTATCATATCATCTGCAAATAGTGATAGTTTGACTTCTTCTTTTCCTATTTGGATTCCTTGGATGTCTTTCTCTTGTCTTATTGCTCTGGCTAGGACTTCTTTTATTATATTGAAAAGCAGTGGTGAGAGTGGACATCCTTGTCTTGTTCCAGATCTTAATGGAATTGCTTTCAGCTTTTCACCATTGAGAATGATACTGGCTGTTGGCTTGTCATAGATGGCCTTTATGATGTTGAGGTATTTTCCTTGTATCCCAAGAATTTCAAGGGCTTTTATCATGAATGGGTGTTGCACTTTGTTGAAAGCTTTCTCAGCATCTATTGATATTATCATATGGTTTTTATATTTCTTTTTGTTGATGTGTTGCATAACGTTGATTGATTTTCGGATGTTAAACCATCCTTGTGTCCCTGGAATGAATCCTACTTGGTCGTGGTGAATTATCTTATGGATACATTGTTGGATTCTGATAGCTAAAATTTTATTGAGGATTTTTGCATCAGTGTTCATTAGGGAGATTGGCCTGTATTTTTCCTTTTTTGTGTTGTCCTTATTCGGTTTTGGTATTAGTGTAATATTGGCTTCATAGAACGTGTTTGGTATTGTCCCTTCCTTCTCAATTTTTTGGAAGAGTTTGTGAAGGATAGGCACTAATTCGTCTCTGAATGTTTGGTAGAATTCATTTGTAAATCCATCAGGTCCTGGGCTTTTGTTTTTGGGGAGGTTTTTGATTACCATTTCAATTTCACTAATTGTAATTGGCCTGTTTAGGTGTTCTATTTCTTCTTTATCTAGCTTTGGGTGATTGTAGAGTTGTAGGAATTTGTCCATCTCCTCTAGATTGTTGAACTTGTTTCCATATAACTGTTCATAGTAGTTACTGATTATTCTTTTGATTTCTGCTGTGTCCGTTGTGATTTCTCCTCTTTCATTTATGATCCTGTGTATTTGTGCTTTCTCCCTTTTTTCCTTTGTGAGCCTGGCTAGGGGTTTGTCTATTTTATTTATTTTTTCAAAGAACCAACTCTTGGTTTCATTGATCTTTTGGATTGTTTTTTTAGTTTCAATTTCATTTATTTCTGCTTTGGTTTTTATTATTTCTTTTCTTCTACTGGTTTTGGGGTTTTTTGTTGTTCTTTTTCTAGATCTTTGAGCTTCGAGATTAGGTTGTTTCTTTGCGTTCTTTCTTGTTTCTTGATGTGAGCTTCTATTGCTATATATTTTCCTCTTATTACTGCTTTTGCTGCATCCCATACATTTAGGATATTGGTGTCCTCCTTGTCATTCAATTCAAAGAATTTTTTAATTTCTTCTTTGATCTCCTCGTTAGTCCAGTGGTCTTCCAGTAGTGTGGTTTTTAATCTCCATGAGGTAGGATAGTTCCTTGCCTTCTTTTTATGATTTATTTCTAGTTTGATGCCTTCGTGGTCAGAAAAGATGGTTGGTATGATTTCAATCTTGGTGTATCTGTTGATATTTGTCTTGTGCCCCAGTATGTGATCGATCCTGGAGAATGATCCGTGTGCGCTTGAGAAAAATGTGTACTCCGATTTTTTTGGGTTTAGTGTTCTATAGATGTCTGTTAAGCCCAAATGCTCTAGGTCCTTATTTAGAGCTTTAGTTTCTTTACTTATTTTTTGTCTTGTTGATCTATCCATTGTTGATAGTTGTGTGTTGAAGTCTCCCACTACGTATGTGTTTTCTCTGATGTCTGTTTTCAGAGAGGACAACAGTTGTCTGATACATTTTGGTGCTCTTTCGTTTGGTGAGTATATGTTAATGAGTGTTATTTCTTCTTGAAGTATTGTCCCCTTGATCATAATGTAGTGACCATTGGGGTCTCTTTTTATTTTTTTGAGTTTGAAGTCTGTTTTATCTGATATAAGTATAGCTGTTCCTGCTTTCTTTTTTGGCCCATTTGCTTGTAGGATTGTTTTCCATCCTTTGACTTTGAGCCTATTTTTATCTTTTGTAGCTAAATGTGTTTCCTGGAGACAGCAAAAGGTTGGGTTTTGTTTCTTAATCCAGGCTGCAACTCTGTGTCTTTTTATTGAAGAGTTTAGTCCATTTACATTTAGAGTTAATATTGATATGTTAGCATCTGTATTTGCCATTGTGTTTGTCTTTCCTTTGATTTTATTTATTTATTCTTTTAATAACTTTTTTTTTTTTTGGTCTTCTTTCGTTGTTATTTGTCCCTCTGAGGTTCTGGCTTTAGGACTCCTTCTAGTATTTTTTGGAGTGGGGGTTTATTCGTAATGAAATTCCGGAGTTTCTCTTTGTCTGGGAAGGTCCATATTCTTTCTTCATGGAGGAAAGAGAGCTTTGCGGGATAGAGTATTCTTGGTTGGCATCTGTTTTCTTGGAGTCTGTTGACTATGTCCCTCCACTCTCTCCTTGCCCGTAGTGTTTCTTCAGAGAAGTCTGATGTCAGCCTGATTGATTTTCCTTTGAATGTTATCTGTTTCTTCCCTCTTGTCAGCTTCATTATTTTTTCCTTGTCCTGGATTCTTGGGAGCTTTACTATTATGTGTCTTGCTGTGTTTTTCCTTTCGTCGTGGAAGTTTGGTGTTCTTCTTGCTTCTTGTATATCAATTTTCAGCTCCTTCTTCGCATTTGGGAAGTTCTCTTCAATTATCTCCTGGAATATTTTCTCTGTTCCTACATCTCTCTCCTCTCCTTCTGGAATTCCTATAACTCTTATATTTCCTTTCCTCATGGAGTCAGATAGTTCCCGAAGTCTTTCTTTATTCTTTTTCCTTTGTACTTCTCTTTCCTTTTCTGTTTTGGTTCTTTTTATTTCTGTGTCTTCAAGAGTACTTATTCGTTCTTCCATTTCATCTATTCTGCTTTCATTGCTTTTCCCAGAGTTCTTTAGTTCCTCCATTAATTCTTTGATCTCCTGCATTTCTTTTACTTCCCTCTTTAGGGACTCAATTTCATTCTTCTGACCATTGTTTTCCCTCTTTAGGGACTCAATTTCCTTCTTCTGATCTATCACTTTTTTAATCATGGCAATTTTAAATTCTCTTTCTGGAAGGCTCAGAAGTTCTTCCAAGTTGCTGTTGTTGCAATCTGGGGAGTGGTTTTCTTTTTGTGGTGTGCTTCTTTCCTGAGGAGTTGTTAGGTTGCGTGTGGTTCTTCTACTCCCTACTGTCTGTTTTCTAATTTGTCGTATGCATTGGGACACTGTGTTGCTCGGACTGGCTGGCATCTTGGGTGAACTTCTCCGCTCCCCTCTGGCTCCTCCAGGAGCCATCTCTGGCTTCTGGGGGAGCTTTCTGCTGGTTTTAGGCAGTTTTTACTGAAGAAATGTCCCTGTTCTCAAATGGCGAAGCGGGATGCAGTCCCTGCGCCTCCGGTTTCAGGCACACTCTTCTGCGCACCCGGTCTGCCCCGGACGTGGGTGCCTGCTCCCTCTGTGGGCTCAGACTGCTGGTCAGAAGGGGCCTGGCGTGGGCTAACTTCCCAGCTGGCCACTGGGTCCTCCAGAAGCCTTCTGCCCTTTTCAAGCAGTCTTAAGAAATTTCCTGTTCTATGGGGTGTTAGTGACTTTTTTTTTCTGGTCGCTAGGTGGAGCCAGAGATCTCTCCTATTGTCCTTGGGGGGCTGTTTTTCGCCTCCCCCCACCCCGTGGGACAGGGAACAGAGCGGGAATGGTAGGGTAAACCTCAACAGCTTTGGGGTGCTGTGTCTGCCTTGTGCCCCACCGTCGTGGAGAACCCACGCCCCGAATTTTCGTGCCCCGGGTCTCAGTTCAAAGCCCTCAGTTCCAGGACGCGGGCTGTAGCCCAGTTCAGTGGTGCGGGAATGGCGCCTTTTGCACCCCGCTCCCGTGCCTGGGAACCTGGTTCCTGCTTACTCAGTGAGGGACTTTCACCTCAGTGAGGGCCTCTGCGCGTCTCCCCGCAAGCCTAGGTCGCAGGCGCGGGGACCTGGGCAGCCGCAATCCAGGTCTGCATTTGCTTTTTTTTTTTTTTTTTTTTTTTTTTTTTTTTTTTTGCATTTGCTTTTCAAGCGCGCCAAGCGCGCCGCTTTTCCGCACAAGCTTACCGGCCGGCCGGGGCTGTGTGCGCGTCTCCCGGGGTCTTTGTTCTTCTCTAATGGCGCCCGGAGCCATTCGCTCACTGCCGCGGCGAATCCTGCAGGGTTCTCCACAGCTCCCGTTCACGGGGTGTGGTGGCTGCAATAGTTCCTTTCCACTCACAGTCCCGCTTGCTGCGTCGTTTGTTCTTGTTGATCGTTTTGGTTTGTTGTTTTCCTCCTCTCTGCCGGTCGGAGAGTGCCGCCTCTGTGGGTGGGGGAGGGGAGCAGGGTTCTAATGTTTTATTTTTATTTTAAATTTACAATGGCAAATTTAGTCTAGCAAGTAATCAGGGATTTATTAATTGTTTATACTGTTTTAAAAATGTTTATCACTACAGGACTACAGAATTAAAATAAGCTTTTTTTTGTGGGAAAGCACAAGATTGTAATCTCTTTGCTTTTCATGTCCACCCCATGGCACCATCGGACTGGAAGACGCCCATCCCCCTAGTGGCTATTAATGGAATTGCAGAATTTTATGCTTAGGAACAAATCAGCTGCTCCAGAAATTGACTTTGAAAATGAACTTCTTCTTCCCCACCCCCACACCCCCCAGGAAGCATTTGGGAATATGGAAGAGGACTGACTTCCCTGAGCACAAGAAGAGTAAATGTTCTGTCATACTCAGGACAGCCTTGCATAAGAATTGACCTATTCAAAATGTCAATGGTTTCCCAATTGATAAACACTATAGCACCATCACCCTTACCTTTTCTAGGGGATTAGCAAAATTTACATTTCCATTGTCCTAAACATGAATGGCTTATCTAATGGAAAGAGATGCTCTGGGTACTTTTAAAAAGTATTGTACTTTACCCATTTTGTTTTGTTTGTTTTCCTTGATTTTCAGAATGTAAAGCAGGAATCACCCCAATCTTTGAAGCACAGCTGAGTTTAGCAATCCCAGAATTAGTTTTCTCTCCATCTTTGGAGTCTGGAGTGAAGGGTGGCTTCTATGACATTGTTGAGGGTCTTGTCACCAGCATTTTTGGAATATCATCTTTGGTGCCACGACTTTCCTCACAAAATGGCTCTCCCCACTATCAGGTATTGGACTTACAGCCAACCTTCCTCCAACAAAATCTGGAACTTCTTGCAAAGTACTAATGTCAACTGTATGCTTTTCTCTTGCTCTCCTAGATTGACATGGAAGGTATGGCTGATTTGGTAAGCATGAGGAGTTTGCTCATGGAAAGGGTCCAGAGCATGATGACCCTCTGTTACAGCTATCGGAACACCTTCAGCCAATATTCCTACCTCTATGTGGAGGATCGAAAGGAGATTCTGAGTCAGTTTCTGTTGTATGGGCATGTCCTCACACATGAGGAGATTGAAGCCCATGCAGAAGATGGTATCCCAGAGAACCCACCGTTACTCCATCAGTTTAAAGCACAGATTGACTCCTATGAAAAGCTCTATGAAGATGTGTGCAGGTTGGAGCCCATCAAGGTATTTGACAGATGGATGAAGATTGATGTACGGCCCTTTAAAGCATCTCTGCTGAATACAATTAAGAGGTGGAGTCTCACGTTCAAACAGCATCTTGTTGACTATGTCACTAACAGGTAATATATTTGTTCTAGCTGTCTTCTCAGACTGTCTGGAACACCATGATTTATAATTTTCTTCTTTTTCCCCTTGGGCTCATTGCTTAAATTAGAAATGAAAACAACTGGTTAGAGGTTCCAGGCTTTGGACCCCAGCAGTAACTTTAGTCCTGCTCTTTGCTTTGTTCGCTAGATATGCCCTCTTTTTGTTTTATTTTCTGTTTGGTTCACAATGTGTAAGAGACACTCAGTAAGTGGTAAATAATGTTCGATACAATAATAGTATATCCAAACTCCCTTCACAATTCTGGCTGTGAAATATCTTTAAGCCTGAAAAGCAGAGGGGGTCTAATGGACCTCTTTGATTTTATTTCTGCCACTTACTCCTTGTCTCAGATTATTCCGCTGTGCAATGTGTAAGTCACTTAATCCCCACACTGTTGTTGCCTGTCTGTGTCATTCCAGCCATACAACACACTGGACCTGAAATTCTCTGTTTATCCTGGACTCAGACTACCCATCTCTGCATCTGGATATTCTAGTCCAGAATATCCACCTCAAAATAAATAACCAAATTGGTCAATAGATTCCTAATCACGTCACCTTAACCTTCTCCCTGTAAATGTACCACAGTCAGAATCTCTCCTCCCACTCCCACCCAGAAGCATGGTCCCTCCATTCAGTGATCACCTTCAATGTGTCAGCTGATAATATAAGGAGTCAACCTGATACCTCCCCTGAGTTTGGTGTTGGTTATGCTTAGTGCTGCAACTGCCTTGCTCAGTGATCTAGAAAGGAAATGGGCAAGTTGAGGATGTGTCTATCTAAAAATAAATTACAAGATTTTTTGCAAGAATGATGGCCCACCATTCTAGAAAAATCCCAGGAAAGCATTGCTGGAGATGTTTTAAATAGGACTTCTTAGGTGTTGTTTAAGGAGAAGTCATTTTTCTAATTTCAGAGAGGCAGGAAGGGGAGATGCTGGTAGGATTTGGGATGGTGATGCCCCTGAATGGAACACTGTTGGGAGTGACAGCTGCCTTGTGATCCCTCCCCATTGGTAGATCTGATAATCCAAGGACATAGGAGCATGCTTCAAGATATAGGCCTTATTATTATTATTTGGGTATGTCAAGGCCAACAGAGACAATCAATAAGAGACAACTGTCATTGCAAAAGTAATTTATTATATTTATTGGCCACAAGACAAGATACTGTAGCATGCAGGGCCCCATGGGGAAGCACCACAGTAGGTCAGGAGGCAGAGAGAGTGAAAGGAAAACATTATCAAGAGCTTCTTATTCTGGTTTGTGTAAGAAGGTATGGGTAAGACAGGGCAAACAGGCTACCTGGCTAATGAGTAATTTCTGCAGACTCTGGGGCATAGAGACTGTCCTTAGTTATCTGGTATTTGGTTCTGGTATGATTATGGCAGAGGAGGAGTGGTCAGAGTGTGAGAGTCTGATAGAGGAGATAGTGGGCCTATGAGTACTGGATTGGTTGACTGGCACATGAAACGTATGCACAAGTGAGGGTCATATGCTCTCTTTAGGAAATGGCTAGCCTGAGGGTCAACAATGTACCAAATATCAGAGAAATACAGTAATTAGAAATATAGATGACACAGGACAGAGTGACAGTAGCTATCATCTACATCTCTACCCAAGAAAGATTTTTCCAGACCCAAAAATTTATTTAACAGGATGAACACATGATAAGATAGTTAGGACGCCTGAAATCTTGTCTTCTCCCTGAAAGAGAATGGTAAGTGTGGATTCATCTCACTGCTTCCCAGCTTTATCAGTTAGTGATTCATAAATTGGTGATTTTACTATACTTCAGCATGTTTTACTCTGTTCTCAATGTTTATATAAAATAAAAATAACAAGAAAAATAAAAACTATTATTGAGTGTCTAATATGGGCCATGTAAATATGTATTTCCATCTTCCTTTAATAGGTCAGTACTAAACCCACGTTGCCTTTTTTGCATTTCATTTACTGTTAGAAGTCCAACCTTTTTGTTTTTTTATCATCTCTCTTAGTCAGCTTAGGCTGCCGTAACAAAAAGGCTTAAACAATAAATTCACTTCTCACAGTTCTGGAGGCTAGAAGTATAAGATAAAGATGCTAGTTGATTTGTTTTCCGGTGAGTGCTCTCTTCCCGGCTCGCAATGGTTGCCTTCTCAATTGTGTTGTCATATGCTTTTTCCTCATTCATGGAGGGAGGGGGGAAAGATGGGGAGTCTTCCTCTTCTGGTAAAGCCACTGATTCTATTATGAGGACTTCTTCCTCATGACCTCATCTAACCCCTAATTATCTTCCAAAGGCCCATTTCCAAATATCATCACATTGAAGAGTTAGGGCTTCAACATATATATTTGTGGGGGACACATATTCAATCTATAACATAATGTAAAGTCTCACCCCCATTTGGCTCTTAATATCCTCGTATGATTAAACCCATGCCTTTGCAAAGCCTTCCTCTGTATTATCTGCTAGACTTCAGGCTCTTTCATTAGCAAATGCTCACTGCTTCCTTCGTTTTCTCTTATTCTCATTTTTCCTTTAACTGAAAACTGACTCCCTCCTGAAGGCATTGCTTCCCTTTCAGCCCTCCCAAATAATAGCAGATTTTTCTCCTGTATCTCTCTTACCATTGACCCAGAGATAAATAAGATATTCTTGATCTTTGTGTTCCTTCCAGACCATTTCACCACTGCTCCCCCCTCAAAATTCCCAGTTCTGTGCAGCAAAGTCCACCAGGCAAGGGTCTCTTGTCCTTTCCGTGGTCATCTATCCAGCTCTTAGTCCTTCTTCCCCCATCAACACAGATCTTATCATACGGTTCAGTCTTGTTTTATACCCTTCTACTAATAATCATCCTCAGGGACCCAGCATCCATATAGAGTCTCCTTTCTACCTACTTCTAATTTTGTGACCTAACTCTGCTGCCCTTTCCTTCCACTATACCTCTATTACCTATTTCCTGTTGTGCTCTTGGTGGACAAAGGGTGAAATGTGGAAGTAATTGTTCTTCCTTCAAAATTGCAGGTTTGGGACTCCCCCGATGGCGCAGGTGATTGAGCGCAGTGCTGTGAGGCTGTCCACAGCCTCTGCAGTGCCGGTTCGATCCCGGCCAGCCGGGCGAGGGTCCCACATGGTGCGACAGACCTCTCCTGTCTTGCCCACTGCTCCCCTCAGCAGTGTATTTTGTCAGTCTGCCTGTTCTGTTCCGCACTCTGTCTCTGGTGAATCCTCTTACCCTCCCACACATCTGGCCTGTACCCCGGTTCTTCTATAAATAAATAAATAAATCTTAAAAAAAAAAATCCGCAGGTTTAAGCATTCCATTCTTTGACCATGGCCTGGTGTTCCAGTTCACTTTCTTGACAACCCTGCCACACAAAACTCCTCAAATCCATTAGCGTTTTCAGTTCATTGGCCCTGACACTATCTCAGTGTTATTCACTCTAGTTCCCTATTCGTGGTTCCACCTGGTAAAGCCCTGACTCCCTTGAAACTCAGCCTTTTGGATCTGAAACATTCATCTCTGATGAAGGAAAGATAAACCATTCTTCTGACCTGTATCATGTTAAATTCAGGACTATAAAATTCAAATAGTTTCTGCAGACTTTTGTAGATGCTTTCCAACTCTCCTGGACTCCTTTTTCCTCTCTTGCCTTAAAATCCAAACATCTTCTCTGCCCTTATTACCTTGTCCTTCACTTCACAAGAAAATTAGAACCAATCACAAGAGAAGTAACTTGCTTTTTTTTTTTTTTAACTAAGAAATCTACCAACCTATCTGCAATTGAAACCTTACATTCAACTACTCACTTGTTAAGATGGCCACATTATCCCTGTTTTTCTAAGTTCAACTTTCTTACTTTTAAATACTCAAGGACTTACCTTCTTAAATATTCCCAATTAACAAAATTTTTATTTTTTTTCCTTCACACATTCTCAACAGCATGAAATGTGTTGTCATATTTTCCATCTTTAAAAAAAAGAAACCTGACCTCAGAAGTTCTTCCAACTACACCACCAATTTGTGTGTCTTGCTTCACAGCAAAATACTACCAAAAAATAAAATTTATCCATATTGGATTCCTTTATGTATTCATATTCTATACTTTCTCTCTACAAAAGATTTTATTATGACACATAGCATGCATATAATTTAGCAAAAAAAGATTAAAACAACACTTCCATTTGCATTTTCCAATGAAGAAGCAGATCACTGGCTATATTTTTTAATTTTTGTATATACTCCTTTCTGATCAAATCCCACTCTCTCCATGCTATATGTTACCTGTACCTTAAATGTGACATAATCCTTCCCATTCTTTTCACTATGGCTTATTATATATAGATATAGCTATTTATCTCTATATAGTGTGTCTATGTATATATGGATGTATATATATTTGCTTTTAAAACTTTATGAAAATGGGGCCTCCCCTGGTGGCGCAGGCGGTTGAGCGCAGCACTGTGAGGCTGTCCACAGCCTCTGCAGCATCAGTTCGATCCCAGCCAGCCAGCAACAATCCCACATGGCGCAGCAGACCTCTCCAGTCTCTCCCGCTGCTCCCCTCAGCAGTGTATTTCGTCAGTCTGCCTGTTCTGTTCCTTGCTGTCTCTGGTGTGTCCTCTTACCCTCTCGCGCCTCTGGCCTGTACCCCAGTTCTTTTATAAATAAATAAAAATCTTGAAAAAACAACTTTATGAAAATGAAACATTTGGACATTCTATATTTTATGTCTGTTTCTTTTACTTAGCATTATATCTGATTCCATCCATGCTGCTAGAGTAGCAGTAGTTCATTCGTTTTCACTACTTTAGAATATTCCATTACCTGAATATACCACAACTTATCTGTCCATTCTGTGGTTGATGAGTTATTTCAGATGATTTTAAGTATCAATAATGTTGCTATAATTTCTGATGGTTTTGCTGCTATCAACAATGTTGCTTTGAGTACTTTCATACATGAATCATGGTGTGCCCAGGGAAGC